AGTCTATGTTAAAGTCAAAGAACCATATGACCAAGGTTATGTTTTTGTGTGCAACTGCCTGTCCACATTGGGATACCAACATGTGTTCTTGGTTTGATGGTAAGATTGGTACTTGGCCTTTTGTTGTGAAAGAACCAGCAAAACAGACCTCTGTAAATTGTTGTGCAGGAACCCTTGTTAGGAAGCCACAGAACATAAATGGCAATGTCTACAAAAAGATGCTGCTTGACAAGGTACTCCCTGCAATCTACGAGAAGTGTCCAAGGCAATCTACTAGTCCTAATCCTCCAGAGATTTTCATTTAGGAGGATAATGCAAAGCTTCATAAGGCTCCTATCAGAGATGATGCMAAAGCAGCTGCAGCTAGMAAAGGCTGGAACATTTCTGTGGAGACTCAACCAYCAAACAGTCTGGACTTGAATGTACTTGACCTTGGATTCTTCAATGATTTTGAACACTTTATTAGTATGCTTGTGTAGTCTGGAGATGACATGTACTATGTTCTTGCTTAGATATCCACCAGCAAGAAGCAGCAGGTGGGGCATGATGGGATGAAACTTGGGTAAGATCACTTTTTGTGCTTGAGGACCTCCTGCAAAGTGAATGCCRGGATAAATTACTGCACTGCTGGCTGGGAAATGACCACCAGAATATTTTCTGAAACTTGATATCTACTCATACTGCTAGTACTAGTGCTGTTCAGTCTACTGGTGCCCCATTGCATTCATTTTTCAATGAAGGGCTCATGCAGTATGACATGAATAGATCAATACCATGCTATATGTATTGTCCTCTGACAAGAATCTTAGGAACAACAATAGAAAGCAAATGATTCTGCTGCACTGTGAACAGAGCAGGTCAGCTGAGGTCTGGGCTTTTGCCTTCTGCTACTAATGTCAGGAAAAACATGCATTTAGAAAACAACTGGAGAACAATTCATTTGCAAGTGGGCACCCAAAACGTTGCGTTATTTCAGAACTACTACTGGGCCATTTTGGGATACAAGCGCAAGGCAGATGTTTTTGAGAGACAGAGGAAAATATTTCTCCAAAATCAATTTTGTGGACCAAATTGGATGTAAGGGAAATAAAAATAGATTTCTTGTAGTAGTTTAAACAACCAATATAGATCGTTGGTGGCGATTACCAAAATCGATTTTACTGAAGTGGATTTACGCCGGCCATAACATTTAATGCATCGCTTTCGCGTCTTATCCCAAAGTCGCGGTGTCTAACTTTCCCACCATTTGAAACCACCCGCACCTTCTCCGTTGCCATTTCCCTGTCCGTAATACGCGGTGTAATCCCAAGTTTGAGATTCATTCCCATAAGACGCCTGTTGCTGGTGACCTCCGTAATTCTGGTGGTTTTGCATTGGATACTGTTGCTGTGCTCCTTGGTCATAATAATTTTGTCCCTGGTGCRAGCCGTTTCGATAGTTATCATTGCGATTGCCGTAGTGCTGATTTTGCTGTTGTTGATGATGGTACTGATTTGGGGCATTATTATTGTTGTTGCTGCCACTGTTCCCGAATTGATGACCATTGTTATTGCTGCTGCCCGATGGCGGTTGAGGGGGAGGAAAGGCGGGTGGGGGCGGAGGCAACCCTGTTTGATGCGGTGGCGGTGGCGGCGGTACAGGATTATTACCAGCCACTGGTGGCGGAGGTGGCGGCGGGAGACCATGAGGTAGCGKAGCTGCTAGATTTCCAGACGGGGGAGGAGGGAGACTCGTTTTTGGTGGCGGAGGAAGGTTCTTAATTCCCTCTGGTTTTGGCGGTGCCCCAGGTGGAACCCCGGGAGTAGATTTTTCAACCTTTTTGCCATCTAGTTCTGCCATGAATGACATATAATCCGAGTCCATTTCTTTGGCATCTGCCTGTTTAACTTCCTTGGGCTTCAGTGGGCAATCCCTAGTGGGATGACTGCTGTCTCCACATATGGCGCATTTGACCTGCATCGCGTTCTTTTTCATGCTGAAACGCTTGGGGCATTCGAAAGCCCGGTGGCCCTTCTCGCCGCAAATTGGGCAATACTCGTCTTCTTTTAGAGTACCATTCAAAAGCGCTAATTCTCGAAGTTGTTGTTGCTTGTGGACATTCTTTTCGTCGTCGATGACCACCAACATTTGCTCGATCATATCCGTCGCCGCATCGACTGATCGTTGATCATCACCAGTGATTACTACGTGGAGAGGTTCATCGTCGCTTTCCATGACTTTTCCGTCCCGTCGTCCTCGAGCCCCCTCCTTCACCGAACCGCGTCCACGGATTGCAATCTTGCAGCCTGTCTTTCTTTCCAGTTCCTTTTGTGTTTTTCCACGCGGTCCAATAATCAATCCAATAAAATTGTATTGGGGATGATCTTCGATGGGAATTCGGATTTTCTTGGTTCTTTTGCGCTTGAACAGACTTGATTGACGGGTGGCTGGATTCATGCTCATGAGTTTTTCAAGCACATCGTGACGCTCTGCAGTGTATCGTTGACGCCACCGAACAGACCTGGTATTCTTGCGCTTTCCATCCGCTCCGTATACTGGAAGTAGGTGGTTTTGATAGTTTTTGTAAATGAAAGAGCGAAAGAATAAGTACGTATGTCAGTTGGAAAACGAAACTCCTTTTATCTAGCAACGAATGGATAAAAAAAGTGGAAGCAGACGAAGATTCGGAGAAGAATTTTGCTTCACTTTCTTTATCCAATTCAAGCACAAAATTTACAAAAACAACGGGTTTACTTACTCGGTGGTGGAGATGGCGACCGTTCTCGGTGACCTCGTGGAAGGGCATCCACACGAGCTGCTTCGGCCTCGAGGTTATCCAACTTGGTGTTGATTTCGCGAAGACGCGCTTGAAATTTGGCCATATCTTTCTGCTGTTCGGGTGTCAAGTTCGTGGGCATTCCAGGWAGTGCAAGCCCTGGAATCCCCATTGCAGGACCACTACCACCTCCTGAAGGACCATAATGACCCGGCACCGAAGTTGCGGTGGYGCTCATAGCTGTTGCTGTGCTTGTCGAGTCCTCTCTTCCCCAGCGAGAGCGACGCTTGTTGGCTGTTGTTTTTGTTGCTGCTGCACCCTGATTATTGTTGTCATTGCTCTCAGGAACGCTACCCCAACGTGAACGACGCTTGCGTGGTGCTGGTTTCTCGGACGATGTTTCTGTCGCTTCGCTCTTCAGAGTAGTCGTTGTCGTGGAAGCTCCTTTTTGAGTATGTTTCAAGTAAGTCTTGCGAGCTTCTTTCCATCCAACCCAATTCAAGACTTCTTTCCATAGACCTGGATAAGCACCGTATTTCTTCCGCAAGGCAGCCGCCTCGTCGGAACAATCGGTGTTGAACCAATTCTTCATTACAACATGTTCTCCACGAATTGTTGCTACCAACTCGGCGGCTTCCTCGGATGAAGAACTGCCCATAATCTGTTGCTTCTGCCGAAGAAACTGTTCTGAATAGCACGAATTGGATCAATATATCTCTGCAAGCAGAGTGGAAGAATTCTTGTCTGCAGAGGTTTCGATGATTGCAGGCACGGTTATCGGCTGTGTTTCCTCCGTGAAGCAAGTCTTGTCCGTGGAGTACGGTGCCGTACAGTGCTAGATGGGACTGTTTGTGTTCGTGCGGTATTTTGTGTGCTGAGTGTCGTTCACACGTCTGATGTTGGATGTTGGACAGACCCCAGTAGATAGTAGATGCTGCTGTTCAGAGCTAAACGATCACAATTTTTTTCGATCAACGGCGGAAATGATTCGATTCATTCATTTACAGTAATTCATTCATTTAATTCCCCGCGGGTTAATCATTTTTGAATATCCGCGCGGTTAAATATTGAAAGTGACAAGACTATGCTACCGGTATGGGGCTCGTAGTTCGTACGTACTGTACAGTACAGGAACAATGTCGATTTCGATGTTGTTGGAAAAATTTAAATTCTTCGGTCCCCCTTTTTCATTGTGATCAGTTTTGATCACAAAAAAATGTCATMAGAAATGATCACAAAATTGATAAATTTCTTGATCACAATTTTTTGTGATCAGTTTTGATCACATTTTTTCAACAGATTAGAATTAGAAGTAATACATAATTTATTCTTACATGAATATCTTAATTATTCAAAGTAGTAGTAGCATGTGGGAATGCAATTCATATGATAATGATATATATTCATTCATTACTTATAGTCATATTAGTAGTAGTACTAGTACTACTACTAGCATGTCATGTTAATTCACATTAAGGCATATTACTATGTTCTTAGTAGTACAGGACTGGTGCACTAGTACAAACATGTAAACATACTGGTATTATCTATATGAAGTGCATTAAGATATTCAAATCAAATATAAAAATGGGACTGGTGGTATAAACTGMTGTAGTACACAAATTAGTTCAAATTTGTGATCAAAACTGATCACAGCTATTTGTTCTTGCCGACTTGAGTCATTTAGCTGTGAGACTGTATTCAAACGGAGAAACATTCTCGGAGACGCTTGTGCATTCTTGTGACTTCCCTCAATACATTTCTGACAAGGACCATGCCACAATTCATTTGCGGTCGTCGTTTCTCAACAACCTCGGTTATCATCAGAATTTKTGGTTACTCGTTGCTTGMTGTAGTACAGAAACAATCTMAAATCAAAAATGAATTATTATATTATCTTCTGTGTGCGACTTTACAATCTTTTTCTCCTCCAAACAAGTTGAGTTTATTTTGTGACATCCATGTGCTTGATCAAATCAAGAACACGGTTGGAGTATCCACATTCATTGTCGTACCATGAGACAACCTTAACAAAGTCATCAGTCAAGGCAATTCCAGCCTTTTGGTCAAAGATAGAAGAGTATGGGCTGGACATGAAGTCAGACGATACAATATCAGTGTCTTGGTAACCCAAAATTCCCTTCATCTTGCCCTCAGAGGCATCCTTGATAGCAGCACAGACAGTTTCRTAGGAGGCTCCCTTGTCCAATCGTGCAGTCAAGTCAACAACAGACACRTTGACTGTTGGGACACGGAAAGACATACCAGTGAGCTTTCCATTCAATTCAGGGATGACCTTTCCWACAGCCTTGGCAGCTCCAGTGGAAGAAGGAATAATATTGTAGCAAGCAGCACGTCCTCCTCGCCAGTCCTTCTTGGAAGGTCCATCAACAGTTTGCTGGGTAGCAGTGACAGCGTGCACAGTGGTCATAAGACCTTCCTTCAATCCAAACTCATCATTGATGACCTTGGCAAGGGGRGCCAAACAGTTGGTTGTGCACGAGGCATTGGAAACAACATCCATGCTGGACTCATACTTTTCCTGGTTAACTCCCATAACAAACATGGGAGCATCTCCAGAAGGAGCAGAGATAACAACCTTCTTGGCACCTCCAGCCATGTGGGMAGAAGCAGCTTCAGTGGAGGTGAAAGCTCCAGTGGATTCGACAACGTAGTCAACACCGGCATCACCCCAGGCAATCTTGGATGGGTCCATTTCTTCGAAAACACGGATGGTCTTTCCATCGATTTCAATGTGGTTGTCATCGATGCGGTTTACGGATCCAGAGTAAGTTCCGTGTGCGGTATCGTGCTTGAACATGTACTCCATGTATTCGGTTCCGATGAAAGGATCATTGATACCGACAATGTTGACCATAGGATCATCTTGGGCAGCGCGCATAACGAGACTAAAATTGAATTTGAAAAGAAAGAAAATTGTCAGTCAGAGTTGTGTGATGAAGAGTTAGAAAGTCCTGAGAAGTTACACTTCGCCGATTGACATCATGCAGCAGATTGATCTTACCGTCCGATACGTCCGAAACCGTTGATACCAATGTTCACAGGCTTCAAACTATTTTCAGATCCTTGGCAGTTCACAATATCAGCAAATTCAGGTTTGAGGGACGCTCCTCCGACCAGGAATCCATCGATATCTTCCTTCGCAGAAAGTCCTGGGGCAGTGGCGGCATTGGCAGATCCGCCGTAAAGGATACGACAGGCAGCAGCAACATCGGCTCCGGCAATTTCGGCCAAGTATTGGCGGATTGCGGCGTGTGTGTCCTGGGCTTGTTCAGGAGTGGCAGTGAGACCGGTTCCGATAGCCCAGATGGGTTCGTAAGCGATAACTACATTTTCCCAGTCTTCCTTTGTGAAGACATCGGCGTAGGCCTTGATTTGAGGGAAAACGAAGTCGTTGGTGGTTCCGGCTTCGCGATTTTCCAACGGCTCTCCACAGCATGCGAGAACCTTAATACCTTTGTCAAGGGCATATTTGGCCTTGGCAGCGACCTCTTCGTTGGACTCACCCTTTTCACGACGTTCAGAGTGACCGACAAGAGTCCATTCGACCCCCATATCGCTCAGCATTTCGGCGCTAGTTTCACCGGTGAAGGCACCGTTTCCCTTAGTCCATACATCTTGGGCACCAACAGAAACATCTCCGCGCAAGTTTTCCTTGACACCTTGGATGTGAACTTGCGACGGACACACAACTACTTCGGTATCGGTCGACAAAGTAGATTGGTTCAGCATAGAAACAAGTTCTTTCGTTTGCGATACAGTACCGTTACATTTCCAGTTACCTCCAACAAAAAATTTACGGGCCTCAACCTTGGTAGATGAGTGGTAGGCACTGTTTTGTTCAAGTTTTGCGACGTTCGGTTTGTCGTTTTTTGTCAGAGGAATTTAAAAGACCTGGTCGTTAGAAATACCATTTCATGCTGTCAAAATAATGATTTTTTGTTTAACTGTTTATCTTACCGARCGGCTGCCTTGGATGCCGATGAGAGGAAAGTTTTAGAGGACTGCATTTTTCCTGTTTACAAATGATCTTATTAGATATTGTGTGGTGATTCCCGATATATTTTTTCGTGTCTGTGAMTAGTCAGCTGTCGTTTTTGTAAGGTCAGGAAGAGATCCCCAACTAAAAGCAGTTGCGAACACCCTTACCACCAAACGTCTTTTTTGCTACCACTGACGGATGCGGATTTTTTTAAAACCTTCTTTTCAGACAAAGGAAGATTTTAGCGACTAGGGACAAATCATGCGATGGTCATTAATGTGTCTCACATCAGGCACTTTAGAATTCTATTCCGGAAGATTATCAACAAACGGCTCTTTTCATGAGTTTGGCCCGGCATCCTCGGAAGAATCTATGGCTAGAAACGATCAAAAGAGACACGTCAGAATTACATTTCTGACTCTTCAGTAAACTTGAAATTTTAACTTTCTGAGATTCCCTCAAGAAGGAGAGTAAATGTAAATTTTGAGGAAGTGAAGGAATTTCAGAAGCAGTTGATCCGTGCCAAACTCGTGGTTATGATTTTTCTGGAAGAGTATTGCCCAGCTCTCTTAGCAGATTTTCTAGGAGTCCTGCACGAGTACAGACAGTTCGATAAATCGAAAGGATTCTTGAAATCCATCCAATTGCCGCATGGCCGARCAGAGTGTCTGGCGTCATCGCATCATCAAGTAACCAATTTATTGTTTCGACAGAAAACAAAATAACCCGAGCAACACACAACATCTGGACATACAATTTCTAAATCACGTGAACACCTTGAAAATTAAACATGGCTCCTATCACTGTCGGAATTAACGGGTTTGGCCGCATCGGTCGGTGAGTCGATTGAGATCGCGTCATAGAAGAGATCCTACCGGAAAATTGAAGCGACGGAAAACCTCTGGTCCGGAGAGGGAAAAGTGTTTGATATCATGCTCTAACATGTATAGGAAAATCAGCTGTGACATTCYATTTCTCACGGTGCTTTCCTTTCCCTGCGTACGGAAATATCTTCATGGTGTTTTGCAATCCCGTCAGTCTCGTCATGCGCGCTGCCCAAAACAACCCCAACGTAAAGGTTGTTGCGGTGAACGACCCTTTCATTCCTGTCGAATACATGGAGTACATGTACAAATATGATAGCACCCACGGAAAGGCCGAGGGAGAAATCACTCACGATGCTGCCGCGAACACTGTCAGTATTGACGGATCACCAATTAAGGTCTTTGGAGAGATGGACCCMTCCAAGATTGCCTGGGGTGATGCCGGTGTTGACTACGTTGTCGAATCCACTGGAGCTTTCACCTCCACTGAAGCTGCTTCTGCCCACATGGCTGGAGGTGCCAAGAAGGTTGTTATCTCTGCTCCTTCTGGAGATGCTCCCATGTTTGTTATGGGAGTTAACCAGGAAAAGTATGAGTCCAGCATGGATGTTGTTTCCAATGCCTCGTGCACAACCAACTGTTTGGCTCCCCTTGCCAAGGTCATCAATGATGAGTTTGGATTGAAGGAAGGTCTTATGACCACTGTGCACGCTGTCACTGCTACCCAGCAAACTGTTGATGGACCTTCCAAGAAGGACTGGCGAGGAGGACGTGCTGCTTGCTACAATATTATTCCTTCTTCCACTGGAGCTGCCAAGGCTGTTGGAAAGGTCATCCCTGAATTGAATGGAAAGCTCACTGGTATGTCTTTCCGTGTCCCAACAATCAATGTGTCTGTTGTTGACTTGACTGCACGATTGGACAAGGGAGCCTCCTATGAAACAATCATGGGAGCCATCAAGGATGCCTCTGAGGGCAAGATGAAGGGAATTTTGGGATACACTGATGAGGATATTGTGTCCTCTGACTTTATCTCTGACTCCCGCTCATCCATTGTTGATGCCAAGGCTGGAATTGCCTTGACTGATGACTTTGTCAAGCTTGTCTCATGGTACGACAATGAATGTGGATACTCCACCCGCGTTCTCGACTTGATTGAACACATGGAAGCATCCAAATAAATGAGCTGGCCTCGTAGAAGTAATGAATAAATAGAACTGTGCATTTTACAAACCATGGTTAAGAAATAAGAAACTTTCGAAATCTTATCTGCCTTCGGAAATATAGAACGATACGATTTGCTTGCATTGAGTGCTGCAGCGTCGCCGAAACACACCGTGCTCTTATTCTGGTTTTATAACAAACGACAGAGACAAGATGGAGAAATGCGGCTACTACGTCAGGAGATACTCTACTGCTCTTTTTTAAGGTTTGCGTTAGTTTCTTGAAGAAAAAAGTCTCTCAGGCTAGTGAATCATATCATTGACCATGCTTTTCAATACTATTGATCTCGGTGTCAAGGCGAAAGAAAGAAACTTGTATATCGTACTAAAATGCGTATCGCATCTATCACTCAACAGTTACAACAGCAAAGCGAGTTTCCTTACCCGGAGGAAAGTCTACACTCTTATCGTCTTCCATGCATTTTCTCTTTCGACAAATCCTTGTATCTTCCAACGGAACTTGTTGATCATCATCAACAGTCGTGGCAATGGCAGCATATGAATCTTTTACTGATTCTTGTATCCTTGGTGGAAGGTTATTGTCTTGTTCGTTAGTTGAACTAGGTACAGTATTCTGGTTGTCTCCCCGACCTTGATTTTCCATACCATCGCACGTGTTTTCTAGGTTAGCTACTTCTTTTTGTTCCGCATTTTTCGTGCGACTTCTGTCATCTACTGATTGCCAAATTATACCGTCGATGTTTCGATCTCCATTTAAATAATGACTCTTGAAATTTTCAATTGTGATATCTTCACTCTGAGGGAAACTTGGAGAACAGATTGCAGTTTGGACCCAATCTTGGTGGGCAAGCTGAATGGAATCAAAACCAACCAAATTTTTGTCTGTGATTAGATCTTGCTTTAAAACAGTGCAATTCCTTGAGAACTGTAATTCCTCGATAAATGTGCCCGAGACGGGCCCTAATATCAGTTGTGGTTCGGCCGACTTGATAGATTTGTCTTCATCTGCATTCTGTAAGACAGGTCTGCGCCATCGCACTCCGCTGATTTCTGTCCAGACACTACTTCGATCGAGAATGGTCAATTTTTTCCTCAGCTCGTATATGTCCGAGATCGTTGGCAATTGTGATGAAGACAGTGCTTCTTCAACGGATTGAAAGACAGACGTGGACTGATTAAGTTGCATCTCGATGATATCACAAACAGGATTTGTAAACGTTATTCTTCCTTCGTCTAAATCATCCAAGAAGAGCCAACGATAACCAAACAAAAGCATGTTGGGATTGTCTTTACTTCTCTGCATAATAGATTTTAGGTTGAGTGACGGCTTTTGAGCATCAGCATTCCATTCGCAACGATGTCCACATTTCAACATGATCTCAACGGCCTTAGAAGCCGTTTTGATTGATGTGTACATATTCACGACCCGGCCAGTCACAGAATCTAGAACTGCAACCTTCTTGTGTTTTCCAGAAGCTGTTGTCTTAACCTTCAGTTTGGATCTTGGTTTGTGATATTTTATAGCATTGTCCATCCATTTTTCAGATGAAGCACGTGCCCAATCACTGTCAAACTTTTTACGGTAATTTTCTACATTGTTTTTGACTTCTTCAGTCAATTTTCCGAAAATGCTCCGTTTGCAAATCATTCTGACACGTCTGCGGAGAACAACGGCCATTCGAGCAACAGAGCTTCCAATTACATTGAACATGATGCAATTACGCCAAATCAACTCGATGTCATTCAACACTCTCGTCACAAGATCATCCATCGAAAAGGATTCACCCAGGAGCCTCGCGTAGTCTCCATTGACTAACTTGGAACATATCGTACCTATATCCATTGGCCGTTTTACTATTTCTTTGTACCCAAGTACTTCTGAAGAGACCGGTTGGCCAAATATATTACCAAAATCATAGTTGATTAAGCTTTGAAGCATTTGGTGGATAACACTAAGGACTTCCAAACCGACCAAAGAGCGTTCATTGGTTACATCCAAATTCAAAAATGCCCCATTTATGAGATCCATCGACAGTCTCCCATCAACAAAGTCGTCATCAGACTCAGTCTTTTCCTGTTTACAAACAAAGCACTCCCAGTGGTCTTTGTCAGGACTTGATTTATTATGGCTTTCCAAGCAATTTGCGTGAAAGGCGCGTGGACAGAAGTCACAGAGGATAAGATGTCCGGCATTTTTGCAGATATGACAGTAGTCAACGTTTCCATCCTCTTGGACCTCTGCAGTGTTTTTGTTTTTCAATGGTTGAACTTGTCTAGGTCCTAAAGTTGCGCCGTTTTCTTCGTCTAGCCATGCATCAGGTATGGTAGTAACAGGTCGCCGGCCCTTCGCAGAGTACACTATGAAATAAGCATTCGCAGATTCGTCGATTTCAAAACCGTTCGTCTGAACTTCTGCGGGAAAATCGGACAATGGTGGCCTCGGTACCATGACTTGGTCAACAAGCTGAATTGTACGTGTTTGCTTGCCATGTGATGATCTCTGAACACTTGTTTCTTYTGCTTCATGTTCTTGCCCACTCCGAGTTACACCCTTCTGAGTTCGAATATCTTCTCTTCTACTATTCAAAATGATGTCGATAGCATTATCCAATTCTTTTTGTGGTATCGCATTTCGAGAGTGAGACAACAGGTTTGGGAAATCAACTTGCGAAATCTTCTTCCCCGTCTCTATGCATCTTGCTTTGAACACTGTTGCTACAGTGTTTAACTTTCTTACGCATCTCGCGCATTCGCAAGTCAAACTACAAATGGGGCAACTGTTGTAAACGAAACACCCGGATTCGCTTGTGACACCCAATCTTTTCTGAAGATACCAATTTCGTACCATCATACCGTAATTATTTGACGAAAACGGATAGAAACAAGAGGTAACATTTTGTGAAAAAAGATACGATTTTGAAGCCGTCGCGCAGAAAATACGCGCGAAAATCAATGAAAGGAAGTGATCATTTTGTGAAACACATTTCTCACTCACCTGCAAATGAGACAAACAATACACATGATTCTTTATCAAACATTGGAATTGAAACCCGCAGTTCTTTCGTGATTTGCAGATATGACAATTCACATTGCTCAATGTTGCCAACAACCCAATATTACCGCTGGTGCAGTTACTTCTAACAGCAGATTCCGCTTCCAGGTTCGCTCGTCGTTTTACCTCGTCGAGAACTTCCTGATTGAGTTCTTCATTCAATATACTATTCTCCTTCCCTGACTCCTTCAGGGCAGGTGGATGGGATCTTCTATTTTTACTTGAGGTGTGGCCACTATCACGTCGCCTTCCCGCTTTTACAGAACTCAAAGCCGTTTCACCCGTTGCCAAACTACCACTATTACGGTTCTGTCTATGCCACACGCCGGTAGCAAGAGACGAACGAGATTTTGCATGTAACTTATTATCCTTCTTCGGTTTGAAAGTACCACCTTGTTTTCCCGAACGGACAATTTGATCGTATCGGTAGGGTTGAATTATTGGACCAAGTTTACGTATTTTCAAAGTGGACTCTTTGTTGGCCTTAACAGCAATTGGTTCTCGAAACTGAGTGTTTTCGGCAACGTGTTTTTCGATCTGTCTGTCTATTGTTGACGCAAGATCCATTGTTTGTCCAAAGGAAAGACCGAAATTGTTGCCGATCGATATAGCGAACGCAAGCGGCGTTGGCGTGTTTGCGTCAGATAAATCCCATGTTACATCTTCTTGGTAGATCGTTTTTTTCTTCTTTATCGTCGCTGTTACCTCTGATTCGATATTCGATGTTTTTATTTGAGCGCTGCTAAGTGAGCCTGCTTTACCTTCGGTCGCAAACTTCTTCCGAGATTTCATGGTATCTTCCCTACCGTCTGTCTCCTTGTTGTCGTGGCTGGTAGCAACATTGTTGCTGTTGCTGTTGTTTTTGTTGTTACTGCTGCACTCGTCGTCGGAATCCTCCTCGTCTTCCAATGGAAACTCTATCCTTATGGTTAGAACCGACTTCGGTGCATCCAAATCGTGATTGGTATCAGTGACTGGTTGAGTGAACAACAATTCCCCCGTGTCGGCATCTCGTGCCTCCATCCCCTCTCTCCCTTGATGATATGCAAACATGTCCAAAACAATACCCGTTCCGCTGATTTCGTTATCACCAGAATGAACACCCTCGACATTGTCATCATCAGTTCGTGTCGATATTGTCCCAAGTGACTGGACCTGRCACTTGTATTTGGATATTTTGTTTTTGTGAACGTTACCGGCTCCCGATCGCCTAGATGCTTTCGGAGGCCTGCCACACCTTCTCCTCTGTCGGGTATTGTTGACGGTGACAGCCGCGTCATTAGTGGCATCTTCGTTATTTCCCTCTGACGAGACGCCTTGTTGCTGCAGTGGATTTTGTTGTTGTCGCTGAATTTCAATCCCCAATATGTTTGTCGGTACCCCCACAGTCTGAATCCCTGCATCTATTCTTGGTTGTTGTCGCGGCAGGKCTTTTTTGTGATCGGACGACGCAAGAGATTGTTGTTTTTTGTTTTCGTTTTTCGTCCCGGCAGCATATGCATGTGGTTCTTCTCTCTTTGCAACCGCATTATTAGCAGTTTCTTCTTCAATYTTTGTTGTTTCTGATGATGTTGCTGCGACTGCCGTTGTGATCACTGTCGTTGCAATGGATTGGGGTTTCGACTGTATTGAATTGTGCTCTTTCTTACATTCCTCATGGGAAGGTTCTCCTATCGCTTCGACCAATGCCGCCTTCGCCGAAGTTGAAGATTGAGAAGTCTTTGGTGCTACAGGAGTTGTTGTGGATGTAAATTTATTGACCGCTATCGAAGAGAAAGACGTAGATGAAGACTCTTGCGCCGGTTCTGACGGCGGAAAAGGCGGGGGATCTTTCAGCTGTGAGGTTGAAACTGCTGCTGATTTGGAATTATTGACGTTGCCATTGCTACTACAACTGCTATTGTTGCTGTGTGTGATATTTGGACCAGCGGCCTTCCGGATGCGTTTAAGTTTCTGGGCTTTCTTTCTGTATGCCATGCATGTACTGTACCTCCGTGATCGCTAAACAGAGCAAAAAGAGCAGCAGAGAGGGAACGCAAAACCATCGTGAGCAAAAGACATTATCATCATCGCGTTGCTTTATACAGTGATGTTCCCCGAGCAAATACAGAATGCGAGAAGCCAAGCCGCTCTTATCAAACTCAGAATAAATCCAAGAAGAGCCAATCCAATCAATCCAAACCAAGGGTCTCTTTCAAAACGAAAAGAACGTACTTCATGCGGAGACAAGACGTCTGCTATTCCACCCAATGCGGTCCAACCCCAGCGAGGAGGATCGTACAGAGCTCTATTCATGAAAACTTCTGGATACAATACACCATCATTTTCACCAGTGTCTCCCCTATGCGTCGCAGCTGGAGGCAGCGATGATTGTGGAGGAGGGCGGTTTGTTGTTGTATCGTTCTCTGGTGGGGACATTCCGTGGAGATTGTCATCGTTGAGTTGTGGTTCCTCTTGATGCTGCTGTTGCAGCTGCTCTTTCGCTACGAACTCCGGGCTTTCGCCGCTCATGGTTGCCGTGAGTGTCTCGCAATCTTATCCTGGGTAAAAATGGCAATATCGCTCTGAACCATAATTGACTAGGGGGGCGGGGGTGGATGGCAGCACGACAACCTGATTTTTACGGATATAGCCATGGTTGACCCCCTACTGGTACTCGTAAGTACGAGTACGAGTACTAATTGCACCAGAACCTTGCTACGAGCCCTATCGTGCCGTACAGAGAACCTTAACCATTGTAGTGGTTGTGCGCCGGTTCTTCTTTTTTATGTTCTTTGTTCTGTTTAGAAGTATTTGTACCTGKACTAGAGTTCCGTAAAGCGTACAGCAAGTTTCGAACAAGACAWTTATTACCTTCTTCCATGATTGAGTCTGTTTTTTTATTTTTTGGATTATTTAACATAAAAAATCTTGTCTCAAAATTCGTGAAAGGATTCCTTTTTGCTCTAAATCCTTTTGAAGCTAAAATGTGACAGTGGGAATCACATAAACGACACCTTTAGCAAAGGTTCTGTCGGTCGAATGACAAATCTTTTACCGATACATAACATTACTTCGGTGACAAAACAATTGGAGAATCATAGGATAATAGCACTATTTTTCTTTTTTAACGGACGGCTGGTAGGTCATATACCACTATTTCTATTGTTTTAGCCATGGATGGTAGTAAGTGTTCCTACAAAGTAGATAGGATTACAGCCATCAACTCCTTCAGGCTCCTTCTCACGAGAGTGGAAGGCATCCATTCTTCCCAGGATAGCCCTGGTTCCCCTTTGGATTCTACCAGATAAGGATGTGAGATGGCAGGCTTGGCATAAACGTTTATCACAGAGCTTGACTCCTTCCTGCTTGATGGCGAGGCAAGATCTTCAAAGTCTAGCAACATTCGGTCCCAAACTTGCAAGCTTTTCGACTCCTCCAAATCCAGAATCTCTTCGTCCATACCACCATGACGACAACATTGAGTCCTTTGCCAATGTTTCCGTAGCATTGTTAGACCGTCAATTCCAACAAGGCTGTCGTTACAACTCTGATTGAGAATCAAATCTCCTATAGCCTCCAGCCATTTGAAAAATACCCATACATATGAACTAAGTATCATTGAATTAGACAAGTCAAGCATGGTTTTTCCTTTGGTCCCCGAAACCTTTTCACGGCTCCAACTTATTAGATTTTGCTCTCTCCCCTCTATAAAAAGGATCTTGCTGGCCAAATGCGTTGAGCATGAAAATGCAATGCGTGCAAGATTATTGTCCACAGAATATTGCATCAGGCACTCATGAATGTTCAACCGAACAGCCTTGACCATATCACGAACAAAATCCAAATCCACTGTTGTTTGTGATTCATCACCAAGAATGTTTGCAGAAGTCTCATAAGTATCAAATCCGACCTTATCGTATTCCAACATRTAGTTGAAAAGAAGTAAGATTCTTCGTTTTTTCCCTATCCCCATGGAGCTGGAATTCAATCGAGGAAGCAAGTGATTCTTTAGGAAGGATTTATTCATAATCGCCATACTTCTCCACCGGTCGTTTCTGTTCAAGGACAATGCGAAGTTCTCCTCCACAACGTTGAGATAGTCGTCGATTTGCTTTTCGATTGAGCTCTTATATGGCCAAACCAATCTGCTTGGTGCAAATTGACTTTTGCCAAGGGGAAATGATGTCCCGACTATCAATGAGGTTGCTTCTTCGATGTTATCGTTAGATCCCATCACTGCTTCTAATATAGCATTTTGAAGGCCAAGATTCTGCGGATTCAACGCGGTTGCAATTAACAACTGTTTGCTTCGTCGAAGAATGCTGGTCAAAAAATGATCATCAAGATATTTGGAGCAACCAACAAGGCTGACGCAATTGACAGTCGGGAGTGAGACACCTTCGCTGCGAGGGCAGTCGAGGACAAATTTTGCAGCCACAGCAACTTCTTGAAGAGCAATGGTGGAATCAATTGGTTGGTTTCTCAGAATCGGGGAGAAGAGGCGGTCTCGTAGATAAGTCTGGAGAAACGACCACGTCGTCGATCGATYCTTTGCACCCTCTCGGATAATCCATGCGCTCAACGAAACGAAAAGCTCCACAAACGAGGAAAGAAGCTCAGAAAGTCTTGCTTTCTTRTATTCTCTGTCGCTACTCGTCTGGTCGTTGTATTTCAGACTTTGTACAATCCCAATCACATGGTTAGCGAGCAGCAATAGTGAACAAGAAGATATCCTCTCAAACACAACAAAGCTTGCATCATTCGTTGCAGTGAAAGAAACAAAATTCCGTAGCAGTCTAAAAATCTTGAACACTTCGTTTTCCAGTGAAATCATTCTGTCCGAGAAATCGAACTTTTGAGTTAAATCACTGTCAAGATTCAATAGAATACGCCCAACTTGGGTTGTTGAGAAAGGTCCCGGTGGCAAATTCTTCAAGAATACAGACCCAAGTTTGGAACAGAAGTTCCATATTTCTAAAGCATGCTTTCTTCGTCTATTCTGCATTTTGCGCAATATAGCTCCTTGAAGACCTAAATCTGTCTCTTGAAAAGAGATATCGTTGAAGAGATCCAGCATATGCAATGCTTGCTTCGTACCAGCCTTTCCCGAAATTTCTCCGATTCTCTCAAGATTGGAGGAGGGCAATTTCTCAAGTCGACTGGAATTTACCAGCTCTTTCAGAAAATTGAGTATCATATTATCCGCACGGTCAAAGACAAAACTTTTGCACCGGGGAAATTTTTCAGCCAGCAGGCATAATTCCGATGTCAATTTCCTCGCTATTTTGGAAGAATATTGATAGTCTTCATCATTTTCATAGGATGGTTCTATCCATTTCGAAACAAGATTTGTTATTTCAGAGGAGTTTTCGTCTTCAAGTTCTGACGATGCGATAGCAGTAGCGAAACATCCGCAGATTTCGTTAATTTTTTGCGCGACAAGAAATTTGCCGATTGAACTCAAATGATTATCCGAATCGGAAATAGTGGTTGAAGTTTTTCCGAGGATAGCGTATCTTTTTGAAGGCTGCGAAGAATTGAAACCAACCAGTACTGTCAGTAAAATTCCATGATAATTGCGTCTACTCTTACTATTTTGCTTACCTTTGATTGGTCGAGTGCATCCGACAAAAAATACCAGAGTAGATTTTGCTTTCGTTTCTGGTTTTCGTTTTCTGATATGATACATGTCAAGTCCAAATCTGCAAAGTCAGAATCATTAAGTTCTCCCCACATATCATCAATGTTGTCATTACTGGGTGTAGTCATGTTTTGATTGGATGCTGATTCTCTCACGGTCGCTGAAAGTGCTTCAGCTGCATTACGTTGCGCAATTGAGAAGCTGTGAATTGATCGAACAAGGGACAGGCACAGCCCCAAATGAAAACTCTCTTGCGAAGCCTTTGATGAAGTCAGATGCATTCTGACGCACTTGATTAGAACAGGATAGAAACATGAAGCATAAACATGATCTCTATGAATGAAGATTTCTCCTCTCTTGATCGTTGCGGTAAGATTAGCAAATACCAAAATGATCATTTCATAAACCTGCGAAAATAGGTGTGGCCCAACTTCAACATCGCAAAGACAGTCTAGACATGCAAAAATGCAACTTATGGCAAACGCAGTGTGTCCGATTTCTGCTTTCGAATTGTCGGTAAAAAGCCTTGAAACTGTTTTGCCAAGACTCAAATGCCACGGAGAAATGTTTACTTGCGCAAGGAGAAGCGTGGCCATGATCTTTACTGTTGCAAACAATCGGTATGCGTCGCCTGCATATTTATCGCTGTTCTCACGACGCGCGAGAATGTTACTTTGCTTTCTCTTCATTTGATCGTCGGACATATTGTTCCAGAATGATCGTGATAGCTCAGGGGTGATTCTCTTCCTCGAGCTTAAAAGGCTTATCACTTGTAAGTACGATGCTGACTCTTTCTTGAAAATGGCAACCCTCTCAGATGCGATACCGATTTCAACCGATGGTTTTACAGAAAATGCATCTTCAAAATCAGCAACCACTTTCTGTGCYGGCTGTTGTAACAACTGATTCGCTTCCTTCAATAGATAATTCTGCAATGCCTTCAATGAGTTCGTCAATCGATTTTGACGAACCTTTTTTGGTGAGACATGCGTGATCCAGTTTACAACGAGCGACAGACAACCCGTCAGCAAGTCAGATGAGGGGTAGAGGAGTTTTCTATACCTAGCACCAGGCTTGTGATGACATTGATCGAAGGGAAAACCAGATACTGAAACAATGGAATGGTCTCCTACGCTTGAATCAAAATAGAGTGGATGTGTTATCCCCCAGAACATGGGTGAAACTTTTTTTGTCATCACATCATCACTGGGGCCTGGGATACACGATGCTCGAGTGAGATCGTTACCTCTGTAGGAGTCTGATTGCAGCTGCAAYGAGTACTGAACCAACTTCACAAGCATCGAATCACTTTTTGGCATACAATTCAACACGCCTTTGCGTATCAAGATAGAAAGATAACCAACTTCTCGCTGACAAGCTAAAATCTGTTCTTCACTTGGAGGTAACCTATCTTCTGCTTCAATATTTTCTACTGCGAAGACTCCTGAAGAAAACAATTTCGAAATGATCTGAAATCTAAAAAGTGATTCGTCGGTTGAACTGGATCGGGCCGAGCTTATGAAGGCGAGAATTCTCCATAACGCATCGGTCTCTATCCGTGGCCAATGCCTACCCAATTTTTTGAATCGAGTGACTTTCATTTCTGTCAGAAAACATGCTGTGTGCAGGAAAATGTACACCGTCGACAATTATTGTTATCTATGAACACGTACCTTGGGGGTTCTCGAATTTTCGCCCCGATTGTAGAAATTCGAACCAGAATTTTGGATCCAGAGATGAAACAAAGGTATGATTTTTGTACCGACTTTTTCTCCAATTCTGACAACCAAAAGTATTGATAATGCACCTAGAAACAGCTTCTAACAGGGGGATACGTAAGCCGAGTGCATTCCGGAGTGGAATCAATTTTTGGATGATTGATTCCATATTTTCAATATCCAGTGCCCATGCCGAAGGCAAATTCAAAGAATATAGTGCATCAACCATTTGAAGCACAACGAAGTTTAAGAAATCATCTTGTTTTTCCTTTGTAAAAATGATAGGCAATTCATCATCTCGTACATATTGCAGAGATCGAATGCATAAACAAAGGGTCCGAATATGTAATGACAATCTGGAGTCGTTGGACGAGATCATTTCTTGAATTGTTCTGCTCCCTTCATTTATCAATATACTGAAGGCTTTCCTTAGAAATGAATTCATTGATTCCGGATTATTCGATAATGCTGCTTCCATATCAGCTAAGACTTCTTCCCAACTTTCATCAAGACTGGAATGATCTTCAACAAAACTAGTTTGTGAGGATTCTTCTGATACACATGGTGCCACCAATAATCGAGTAAATAAGGCACATGTACCGCATGAAGTGAATTGGGGTTCGTGCGTTTGCGGCATTATTTTCCTTCGTTCTTCTTCTCTGATTTCTTCTAACTCATTCACCCTCTCTTCAACACTCATAACCGCTTCATTCGTCCGCTCATCTTTCCTTCCTTTTCCGGGTTCAAAAATAGGAAACTGTCGTTCCATTCTCCCGTTCTGGTTGGTCTGTCGTCCTGTTTGCACTGTTTTATTTAGTTTCTCGCTATCGACCGGCGTTCCGTCTCCGATATTTGCATCAAGAAAGGCCTGCATTCGTTCTGAGATTGATCGTTTCGGGTCACGAGGAACCGGAAGGCTAGCGTTACCACTACTCGAATGTAATTGTCCTCTTCTGACTCTGTTTCTTCTTCTACTACTGCTACTTTTCCCAGCGTGAATCTCATTTTGTACCGAACTGGTCACATGATCATCTTCTTCCGACGAATTTTCCAAGACGTTGATTGAATTTTCTAAATTTGTTGACACTCCGTTTGATTCACTCTGTCCGTTAGCGCGCTCCTGGGAGACTGACGTGAATGAACTTTGAGGCTTTCTCTTTGTTGTTGGATCAATTCTTGCAATCTTATTCGGTCTAGTTATCTTCGTCCTCTTTTTTGTACGATCAGAATGATTCTTCGACGACTTCGAAGTGGAGGACTTCAATTCTTTCGATTCGACTTTTCTCTTGTTTGACCCCATTTGTTTAGCGCGACTTGCATGCTCGTGTGGAGTGAAAGGAACTATTTGTTGCAATGATGATAAATTGTCATGGGCCATGGCTGCTATAGGTAACAAATCCAAATCGTCATCTTGTGATGACGAAGACGTATCATCGCTATAATAAATAGCACCACCTATGGAAGATTCGTCATCATCATGGTTGCCGTCGCCATTGCTACCGATGGACATCATATCATTTTGGGCATTCGCACATTCTGATTCACAGAGGATGACCGCATCCTTTAGCTTTCGGATAAATGCTTCTACTGTATCATCTATAGCATCCATTCGGAGGTTACGAGAATCCATAACACCGGCACCCCTGCATCGCTTGCGCTCTCTGACTGTGAGATGTTTTCTATGTTTTCGGTATAGCTTATCGTCCATTAAGCGGCGCAAAGTTGCACGACACTGATCAGTTCCGTTGTGGATCACCGACAATCGAACTTCGTCCCAAAGTTGATGATACCGCTGGAGCAGTCGCTCCGCCGAGGCACGAGTTCCGTCCGTGGAACCAGGTAGACAGCCAACTTCATTGTTAATTTTTGTCTGGTTTTGTTTTTGAATAATCCGCAGCCTGCGATGTAAGCTAGCTAAAGTGAGTTTCACGTCTGGAAGGATTTCGTCCTCCACTTTGTTTACCATCTCGTCGAAAAAAGTTCCGAGGTCTTTGTACGGTATGGATCTGCTAAGGTCTACCACATCTTCCGGTAAGTTCTCTATGGCCTCCTGCCCCTCCGGTTGAATGAAACCTACGTCTTCATTACCATTGTTGATAGCGGTAGAGCTGGTTCTCGTCTGCTGCTGTTGCTGCTCAATTTGAAATCTCGCTCGAGCCTCCAATTCTAAGAGTTGCTGCTCGTAAGAAATTGACTGAGTACTTGGCGAAAAACTCCGGCGAAGGCTTTCTTCAACGGCAGCTGTGTCAGCAAGAAATGAGGTTTCAGCGTGGTGCAAATCTTCAGGAGATGAAGGTATAGGTGGATCTATATCATTTGGTTTACGTCTTACCCGTAGACTTGAATATTTGGATGTCGACACCAACGGAGCTGAAGTTGTTTGTGATAATGACTTCGCATTCTTCGCTGGATGGTTGCTAGTATTTGCAGATGTTGTTGGCAGGGATTCTAATACTGATTTTCCATTGGCGAAATTTCTGCGACTTTCCCGTGGACGTTTACTTCTCGCAAATCCTATCGCACGTTTTGAATTGTTAGACTCTGCAACTTCAGAATCCGAAGAATCGGAKGATGACGACGAGCAAAAGTCCAACAAAACAGGGTAGCGTCGTTGCCACTTCTTTTGGCTTGTGCTTATTCCATAGTTCTGAAACTTAAAGTTCGATTTTCCCTTTTTATTCTCCGTAATGCTGTTTTCAGGATCATCATCCCTCGATGAGGAAGATGATCTTCTCTTGTTCTCAGACGATTGGCGGTGCCGTCTTCGTCGCCGCGTTTGTCGAATCAAGTGTCCCCATCGCGCCATATCATCATTGTTACCACCACTGCTACTCTCTGAAGACTCATCATCGTCACTCTTGTCGTTTGAGAGCAACTCATCGACGGCATTACTTCGCTTCCCATCCTTCTTCCTCTTTACCGACGACTTTTGTGAATTCTTTGGAGTATTGGCGTTGCTGCTGGCCACAGTCGAAACTGCTGCTTCTTCTTCCATTGCCCAATCACAAGATCCACAATCTGATCGGAGAGAACCGCAGCGTCTACATCTCCCAAGCAGCATGCTGCGATCCCGCAGAGAAGAAGCAACATAGTTTTCGCTACCATTCTCAGAAGGTGAAGTTTTTGAAGAGCGTGTCTCGWATTGAGGAGCCAACTGGACATATTCCAAGGGAACTCGTTTTTCTCTAGATGACCCAAGTATGTACCGAACATTAACATGCGTGGGATTCCTCCTTTTCCCTTCGAGGCTATCTTTTGGATCATTATCTATTCCATCTTCGTCGTCGTCACCATCGGAAGCATCAAAATGAACTTCGACCACTCTAGCTACTCCACCAGGTTTGTTGATCCCAGGCCAGGTACGACTTGCCACTTCGACAAGTCTACCAACTGTGATGGTATCGGCATCGTCTAATTGATGGTTGATCTTTTGATTTCCATCATTGGGTACTGATACCATTGTCGAACCTCGTATTTTAAGTAAAAAATGTGATAGCCGAACTAAAGAAATCGTAGCCTGAATGGGACGGGAACGGGAACGATGTCCAACGTTACGATGCGGTATGGTGCCAGTACAGTATGTAGCTACGCGTAATTGAAGGTACGGTATGGTGCAAACACGGATTGACGAGTGCAATCACTTTTTGTACTAGTAGTAATACCACTAATACTAGCTACTAGAAGCATCAAGAAACAAATTAATGAAACCACTCTAGCTGTTTCATTCGATGATGATCAACTAATTGACAATGCCCTTGCCTCTGCAATGCATGCCACCAGATGTGCAGTGAACGCAGCGGTAAAGACTTCTTCACCACCACCAGGAGCTCGTCGGGTCTACAACCGTGACATGGTTATAGATATCCCACTCCTCATTGCTGACTTAAATCTTATCAGAGACAAGCGCCAACATATAATAGATGAAAATCTCAGGGGAGCAAATGCAAAAAGAATACCTTTCTGATATCAGGTTGGGCAACAAGCCTACATGAAATACTATGAACCAGACAAGCTGTCTCAAAGATTACTACATGGTCACTATCCTATAGTGGAAATTAACACCAACAGAACAGTCGTCTTGCAAAGAAGTGACAATGTACGTGAGACTGTTAACATTCAGAAGGTTGTTCCCTATAAAGGAACTGTCAATACAAATGCCAATCCTGAAGATCCAGCAACAGTAGAGTGAAGAAGAACCCCCTGTTGAAAATATTGAAGATATGATTGCTACAGTCTAGTAGTAATACTGAAGGCAGTATTCCTGTCGGGGATAATGCAACGGATATGTACATACATTTATTGGAAGTGTACATACAGTATTGAAACCATACATACATACAATGCTTCCTCGGAGTGGATGGACATACCATTCCTACCCATATATAATAGGGTACTACTCATATATATGTACAAGTCCCCTGCATACCATATGGTTTGTATGTGGTATCTGCTGCACATGCATGTATGCTTTATCTACTTGTGATCATTGTTTTGAACCTTGTCATAGATTTGGTGTCTCTGAGTACATGGAATTAAGCCATTTTGCAGTATCTCAGAACTACCTACTTTATCACGTTTAACCTCATGAACTAGAACAAGAGGCACTAAGATGACCAAGACCAGAACTTCTCATAAAAGAATGCTCCTAGCTACTCTAAGGGGCAGCACCTGCCTCCTCAGAGGTGCTCTATTCTTTTGGCCATGATGCTGTTGTTTCCCACATTTGTCCCAAACAGCAAAGACAGCACCCCAAGCCCCAATCACCTAACTTTAGTTTCTATAATGCAGTTGCTTCAGGTATGTGTGTTGGAAGACACAGACTCAAGCCTATTCTTTCCTATCTTTCTGTAGACCCATGCCTGTATTCCATGCTCCCCCCATATTTGGTTTGAAATTTCCTTTGCAGCATCTCCAAGCACAAGTTCTTTCAGTAGTATTGTACTTCAAGTGACCCCATCCCCAACTCCAAGTCTCTACAATCATGTCCCCCTTTGTTCTATTCGAAACAGAATCCTAGTTAAATTGTCATTGACAAACTTGCAAATATTCCTTCTCTAAAAAGACATTTCACAAACCACTGCTCAGTCACCATATGGCCAATGCCGCTTTAAGCAATATCCTGGTTGTATCACCATTGATAAGCTTGTCTATGATCTTTTCTCTAAGAAGAGGTGTCATAGACAGTTACTTCTGCAGTAACAAGACACTCATTACCATCAATTTGTGCCTCCATCACACCTCTAAGGAGAGAGGTGCCACCCCTTGGAGTGGCTGGGAGCATTCTTATCCCAAGAAGTTCTGGTTCTGGCCATCATAGTGCCTCTTATAGTTCAAAAGATTTGATATAACTTTAACACTTTTATGTAACAGCAGTGGTCAGAGAAGTCTCTGGCAAAGTAGGCAGTTTGTGTTGTCTCTTCTTGGAGTATCTGTCAAAGATCAGCCTGTCTTGTGTAATACTCTCTATTGGTTGTTTTTTGAGGCAAAGATGGAAAATACTGGATAATAGGGCATGTGTTGGAGACAGATGCCAGAGAGGCTGTATGGATGATTGCATGGATTGTTTTTTCATGTACAGAGGTAATATGACAGCAAAGTGGTGGGAGTTTGAGATAAGAATGTTTCAGGATCATTGGGAAATAATTGTGCATGGGAGGGACACAGATTTGTGGTTGCAAGGCAAACAAGTTGCAGATGCTTTCCATGTTCAGGTTATGGGGTATTTCAAAGTAATGGCTACACCAGTTGAGCCAAAGATCATGCATATGATATTGCATCTGTTGCATGGGGAGGCACAATGCTGTCTTGATCATTTTAAAATTACCTTTGTATTAGTTCAGGACACCAAACACTATCTTTACTATAGTACCAGGATATGAATCAATGTCTATCTCTTCTCCACTGTTGCTGTTGCTGTCAATTTCTTGTATTTGTCCTTTTTGACACACTTCAAACCCAGCAGCACCTTCTTGGGGAATCCTTAGCCACTACAAATTTAGGTAACATGACCATTGCATAACCTCAGTGTGGTGGCACATCCCCATACTCATCCCCAAGCAAACAAGTTTTAGAGTTGCAATTCATACTACAACTACTTAGCACAGGTGGTACTACTACTTCTTCTCACCATAGCAAACCTCCCTTGGAGTGAATATAGGAATTCTTCTCCATAAAAGCAATGATTTGGGCCACCCTAGCACTCCTCTAGTTTTCAAGATCAAGTGTAATATCAAGTTACAATGAGGTTAAATAGTTTTAAGTTTTGTACCTTAAACCACATATGTAGATCTCACTGAACCACCACTCATGTCTGAGTATGATCTTCTTCTCTTTTGGCACCATTGGAGTTGCCAATAAGGCTACCTTGGTTGCYCTTCCAAGATCCTAACTCATTGTGCCTATTTTCTTGTCTCAACTATCACAAGTTTGATCCTTTTCTGTGGGGAGTGAAATTAATGAATGATCCCAACCCTTGACCATTTATCCATTTTCATTGAAGATAAATAAGACCTATCAAACCAATTTCTTATCAATAACTGATAGAGGAGTTGCTCATGCTGGTGACAGAGGAGCCAAATAATGACCAATGTCCCTCAAGACTTACATCTTCCACTCTCCAGATCAATCTCCTTTGCCAGTTTCCTGGTTACTAAAAGCCACAACTTGTTTTCACAAGCCTTGGGGTTTTGTRGAAGCTCTGCATGTTGTTTGTTGGCGTTCTTGTGGTGTCTATTGGTAGTACTAGTCAAACTACAAAAGGAAGACTTTCAACATAACATTAAGGTGCATAGACAAATTTCTCGCGTCCAGTCAAACTGCTAGCTGAAATAAAAGTGTCACCAGCAACAATATGTGGTAATAGGCTGGTGGATTTGACACTTTTCTTCTCTCTTATTCTATGGGACAGAAAAATTATAGACAAACAAGACTGCCAGGTGGTTCAAGAAAAAAAGCATCAGAGAGGGACTCACCAATCTCAGCAATGAGGGGACTCAATTTTTCTTCAAAGTAGTCCTTACATGGTGGATAGGATAGACTATAACAATCTACAATGGGTGTTTCTTTGATATCAAAGAAAACAAAAGTGAACGATTGGAATACTGTTACCACCATAACAGTCCACATCTCACTAAGATTGGATGCATTATTGACATTGCAGTTTCACTGATGCTCTTAGCAGTGTGAGGATGGGAGTGACTTCACTAACCAACTTTTGTTTCTAAGAAACAAATTTCAAGACATACACAGTGTTTGTCAATAACATATGTCACTGCTAGTATCTGTGATAATCAYAAGCTCACTACTCCCCTGCCCCTGTTGATAGCTGATAGTACTTATTCTCTTGTTACTACAATTGCAGGAGTAATATTGATTGAACAGTCTGCCCAATCTATAGTAGTAGTAATATTACCAACCATTTAGTGCTACTACAACTATGGTGACAATAAACTGGCAAAATTTGTTAGCATGAAGCTTGACTGTCAGGGATTCAGTTTTGCTTCTCGGCTTTATGTTTGGAATCATTCTTTTCCTCACTCGTCATGATATCCTTATCAAATTGACGGATCGCAGTTCCCGTGGTGATTCCTCCTACCATTCCCCCAATCACTGCACCCACAGGCCCACCCAAAACCGTCCCCACAAGAACTCCTGCTCCTGCACCGCCAGCAGACCCAATTGTATCTTTATTATTCCCTATGTAGTCACTGGTATTCGCAGAGGCACCGACCATCCAGTCAAAAATATTGCCTTTTCCATATTGACAACCTCCTCTTCTTAATTTTCCTTTCTGAGTAGCTTCAACAGCAGAGTAGCCAATGCCTCGGAAAAAATCACCAACGTTGGCCACTTCTCCTTCTTTTGCATTCCTGCTTCTTTTTCCAGCCTCAWTAGAGCCACGCACTGCATCAACACCGACAACAGCAGCTACCCCAACGAAGGGGCCGATCGGGCTCGTAAAACCAAGAGTTGCCCCCAAGCCAAACACGCCGGCATTTTCAATATTCATTCCCAATAAATCCGCATTCTGAAGAAAGTTGGGCGTCCGAGCGAGGCATTCCGCTGTGTAAAAGTCAATTAAACTTTTTACGGTTGTGTTCTCATTCCCTTTGTATGATCTGACAAGGAATGCTGTTTCTTTTATGGACATTACACTCATGGCATTGTAGGTAATTCTTATTTTCAAAGGAGCCACAGACGCATAAGGAATGTTCAAATATTGCTTTTGTTTGTTGTCGTTGGCCTTCGACTTCTTTTTCGATCGTGGCCTCTTACTCACAACGCTAAATGTTTTGATCCAGTCATGAGTCGAATATCCCCCACTAATAGCCATATTATCGAGAGAGAGCGCAAAGTTTCGAATCACATCAACTTCTTGGGTGGCCGTCGGGATATCCATATAAATGCTTATGTTTGATACGTTCACAAGCTTGCTTTCCATGCTTTTCACGAAGCCTGCCAATTCGGTGCTAGATTCGATTGGTTTAGGATTCATCATAAGTTCACAATCGGTCAAGATGACTTCTGTTTCTTCATCCTGATCTTTGACCAGCCGAATGCGCCTGATATYGCAAGACACTGGGAACGGCACCATCAAGTTTGAAGCGGTAGATAATCCCTCTAAATCATCACTTTCCACTTCGAATTCCGGTGTCAACAACGACCCATCTAACGAGTTGGTTTGAAATGTCCAAGTTTCTCCGAGTAATCGAGCTTGGATATTTTCCACAGGGTTCCGTAGTTCGAATGCACCAGGAAAACACAGGGAACTCACGGATCCTATTGTCACCGCGACAGATGGTCGAACTGATGCGACAATATTAAAAATAGTCATGGATGTACCATGAACATTATTTTCCTTTGGGATCTCTGCATAACGAAGGATGTCGGCATTTGCTACCAAATCAGTACCATCAGCTGCGTAACAAATATTGACACCGGCTAAAGCTATGATGTCTCCATTTATATCTATAACGGCCCCTTCAATGGAAAAGTCAAAGGTAGAAACATCGCCCCGCAAAGTTGTGTCAACAACATTCTTTTTTTTACTGGTGACGTTTGTTGCAGCTTTTGTCTCTGCCGTATCTTCCCGTGGAGCCAGGACCAACCCAATCAGTTGCCCGAAACCTTCCATTTGTGGCCTCGCAAGATGAAGCGAAAGGCCGCCGTCTCCCTTTTTTTCAGTAGTATCGCTAGCAATATTATTTATAGGTATTGCTGCTTGCGGCTGTCCTCCCTCTACGACTACGCCTCGCCCAATGCCATCAAAGCGCTTTCCGTTGGTTCGTGTAACTTCGAAGCCATAGCTGAATGGATTTAGTAGAGGATAAGTTTTGCACACAATTCTTCTTGTTGGTGTCAACGACTCGTTACCACTACTGACAGTACTATTAGTTTTGTGAAAGGTTTCAACCACATTGATAAAGAGAGAAGAAAGGCAAATATCTTCCTTCAGTTGTTCATCCTTGTCACCATGATACCGACCTAATGAAACCATATTAATCTCATTGCCCCCGACAACAATGGACACGGTATAGTCATCATCGTCACCATCACCATTGTTCTCTTTCGCAGAAGGCTCTTGGGGCTCCAACTCCACAATTTCTATAYTCCCCGTTTCCCGTGGATCTTCAAATACTGTAACTCCTTTCCCAAGTATTAATGAATCTATCATCGTGGGACTAGGCATTTCTACTGTCAATTGAAAATCAATGACGGTCAAGGTTAAAGCATCCATGACCATCTCTATTTGTTTTGTCAGGTACGCGTATATTCCAGTTTCATTGGCAATCGTTTGTACGGCTCGTTTGTCGACGTCGGCGACCGGTTGGGAGCTCTTTTTTATCTCTTCTTCTTCCTTACCGCTATCGGAATTTGTTTCGTTGTTATCGTTATCGTCGCCTATATCTTCTTCGGTTAGATGCGCTTTGAAGTTGCACCCTATAATTTGCAAGACAGCATCTTTTACCCACGATTTGCTGCTGCTTGTCATGGACTCCCACGACCAGGTGAAGGAAACCTCGCGGACGAATCCGGTGACACATATCTTTGTCCTCTTGCCAAATGAGTTTTCCGGTAGCGAAGACCGCTGTGGTTTGAGTCGGACATCCTTCAAGATGATTTTTGTATCGGACAAGAGATTGCTTTCGATGTGATTCACATCCACCACAAAGAAATCGGCCAGTGCGGTGGCAATTGCCGACGATAATGACACCTTTGGACCTTGCAAAAAGTCCATCAAATGAATAGTCCTGTCTCTTACATTGATTGACTACTGAAATGCCATTTTGAAGAGCTACTAAGACCGGGGCACTTCGACTGAAATAAAAAATAAATGATACCTCAATTTACTTCGACTACGGTAAATTATTGAGTGATCCCCATACAGTAATGCTACGGTAGATTCAGGTTATTTAGACTGGTGGGGCTACTAGGAGTATTAGTAGAAGGTCTATCTACCACTAGCTTTATGGGATTCAAGCAGCCTGCTCAATGGACTGGAATTCAGTCCATGTCAAACACATTCCTTCAATGGTAGTGGGAGTTTGGAATTTCTAATAGTAGAGCAGTTATTTTCTAGTAACCAGCAGTGCCCACCCCCCCGATACAGGCCAAAACATGAAAATGAAATTTTCATTCCTACTACTAGTAATACTACTAGTAGTACCACCAAATCTATGCACTAGTCATAGCTTTTGGGCCCTTATTTTTGCATGTAATGACTACTTTGACTAAAAGATGACTTGTACTGCAGTTTAAACGTGCTCAAATTTTATTCCCACCAGTCTTGTGACCAAATAGTTTTGYGCACACATGCTCTTGTTACTGTACCAGTAGTACAAATCCAAATTTGTAATCCCACAAGTCATTAGTACACAAAAAAAGATAGCCCAAAATTGATTCACAGTAGAAAAACATGTAGAATGTGAATTAAGGGATGATAGCATTTCAAAAAGAAGAAGAATATCTCATCCCTGATGGGGTTTTACTACTACAAATGTAATGGTCTGAGGATCCACACTTCTTCAATACCACTGTCAAGAAGTTTAGTAAACAACAAGAAGATGTCTACCCCAAGACCATATTGATTTTGTGTTCCAGCAGTTCAAAGATTGGTACAAAGATCTCAAGGAGCCATTGTGCAACTGTAGGCTAATTGAAAGAAGTTTTGTGAAGCATCTCTGGTAGTAGAAACCAGTTGTGAAGCATCCAGCATGGTGGAATTCTGGGAATCCCTCCTGCTGCTTTGTTGGTCAGATGAGGAAAAGCGATGGATGGGCAGTTGGGGATTCTCTATGTGGCATTACTACTGAGTTGCCCAAGAAGACATTTCATAGCAGTATTTCCAAATTGGATTGAGTATATTGTTTTTGTTTTGTTCCCCCTGACCATGCTAAGAKGGCACCAGCACCAGCCAGATGCAGTTGTGGCAAACAGGATGTCGTATGGTACAGTACAACAAGGGTATACGGTATGTGAAGTCAGCTTGGTATCGGAAAAATCTGAAAAGAAGAACTAGTCTACACAAAAGGGACTGAAATTGTACTTCAATGCAAATTGCAGTTTCATTCTCGCTTTTGTATTCTACCTGTAGTACCGTACGTACGTTACCGTACAAAGAGCAAAGATGGATCAAGGATCATGAATAAAAACTAAATAAGTACTTAGTAATACAAATGAAAAATATTATGGCGCGCTAAATTGGATCATCAAAACACCGTACCGTACCGTATGTACGTGCCGTACTCGTACCGTGTGGTAATAGTACGTACTTGGTACAGTACAGGATAGGAATGACAAAAAAAATACTTCGGCATTACGTACCTTACGTACCGTACGGTAAATCCCGTACAGTGGAACTTTCAGTACAACTTGACGTACTAACGGCCGGTAAAGTACTACGAGTTCTCTTTTTCGTTCTCGTAGAACTTTCTTGTTGTCGGACGGCATCAGAACGCATCAAGAATAAATATCGATCATTTGTAGATATCAGACAAAAGTAAGAAAGAGGTGGCATCGACGGAGACGAAGCAACTTGAAATGTCACGATCATCTTCGTCTTTCACGAAATCATCCTCTCGATTATCAAAATTCCACGAGGAGGGCAGTAAGCAGAAAGTAGAGGATAATCAGAGTAAAGACAATCCACATCTATCGCGTCTATTGAAGAGTTTGCGTCCTTTTCAACGCGAAGCATATGATTATGCAACGAAGGGTGTCGTCAGTGCCCGGCAATTTCATGCTCCTGACAAATATGATACCGCAAGTATCAAAGCAAGAAATATCCGGACACAAAGAAAGACTTCTGCAGTCGGCGCCCAAATGAAAAAGAATAAACATCTTGGAAAGATGAACGGGAAACTCCTCCTGGCCGACGAAATGGGTCTTGGGAAGTCCATCACGTCACTGGCGATTATGTGTCACTACATGACCGAATGGCCGCTTTTAATTTTATGTCCAGCCTCCCTTCGGCATATATGGCCCAACGAAATCGAGAAATTTCTTCCTGGTCTGCCGCCCTCGAGTGTTTATGTCGTACAAGGCTTCGACGACGTAGGTTTCTTTGAGAACGAGAAGAAGCGCAACAAAATCAAGATCGTCGTTGCAACCTACTCGCTCTTGAGAAAACAGTCGGCGTCGGCCCGATGCTTGCAAGAATTCAAATTTCAGTGCGTCATTGCCGACGAGTCGCACAATCTCAAGCAAAAAAATAGCCAACGCACTCAGCTGGCATTGCCGTTGTTGCAAAAGGCAAAACGCTTGGCCTTGCTGAGTGGAACGGTAGGTGAAAATATAGACAGTGTCGTCTGATCTCATCTCAAGTCGAGTGTGTGCCTGTACCCTCTGATCAGTTGTTATTTTGTTTTATTGTTTCTTTGTCATGTGCTGTAATTGAATCTCATTATTTACATATATTGTACTCGGTCACTCACTCACGAAGCCTGCTCTTGCGAGGCCCGTAGAATTATGGACTCAATTACATGCGATCGCTCCGGATCTGTTTGGGGCGTACACGGCTTACACGAAACAGTACTGCAAAGCCCGTAAGGGCCGTTTCGGTTGGGACGTGAATGGTTTGAGCAACGCTGATGAATTGCACTCAAAAATCAAGCAAGTAATGATACGTAGACTCAAAGCAGATGTCCTTGATGAGTTGCCGGCCAAGCAACGCTCGATTGTCCCCATTCAAATTTTGAACAAGGTGAAGCGTAAGGAATGCGAGGCGCTGATGAATGAACTACGGGAGACACGCATGTCGATAGACGACTTGATTGGAGAGGAGGCCGATGGAGCACATTTCGAAGCGCGTAGATTGATGATGCAAGCTTATCAAACGAGTGGCGTGGCCAAAGCAAGCGCTGCATCCGAGTACCTTGTGGACTGGCTGCGAGGAAGCGGTACTCAAAAAGTCTTGGTTTTTGCTCACCACAAAGCAGTTCTTGATATTTTGGAAATAGCTGTCGCGAAAGAGCTCAAAGGAGGTGGTCACGTTCGTATAGATGGTACCGTCAGTAGCCAAGACCGGGCTATACGTGTACAAAAGTTTCAAACCTGCAGCTCCGTAAGGGTTGCGATTTTGTCTATGACGGCAGCTGGTGTTGGGCTGACATTAACTGCGGCATCTTGTGTTATTTTTTCTGAGCTTCACTGGACGCCTGGCGTCCTAGCACAAGCTGAAGATCGTTGTCATCGAATCGGGCAGCGCAATGCGGTTAATGTACTGTATCTCGTGTGCGAAGGTAAGCTTTTTTGTTCGACATAATTGTTTAATGCTTGGGCTGCAGTCTCTAACAAATGTACGAAACGCTATTCATTAAAAAARTACAGACTCGAAGTTGAGTGTGGTGAGTTAACTTGGATGAAATTTTTCATAGTCGTTTGTGTTTTACGCTCTAGATTGCGTCTAACTCAAACTGTTCTTCTTCAAAATCTCTTAGGATATGCAACTATGGAGGATGTTAGGTCGAAAAGTCAATAATTTAGGTCGAATCGTAGATGGTGAACGAAATGCCAATATGGGTGCTCAGAAGGCTGGGCAGGAATTTACTGAATCAAGTGTATCGGTTCAAGATGAGCTTCAGTCATTTTTCTCGGAAGCGAAAGTCACAGACGGGACAAAGTCAAAAGTTCCAGCGAAGGGAACAATAATGAGCTTTTTCGCGAAGCAGCGACAAAAGACACCTCAATCATTGAACAAATTGTCAAAAACCAAAAGTACCGAAATGAGTAAGAAGGGATGCAAACCACAAACTTTCACAAGCGCTTCGAAAAWGGCTAAGATATCCAGTAAAGCATTTGAAGAGATTCGAAAGATAGTAGAATGGGATTGTGAGTCATGCACTTTCCATAACAAAATCAAGCAGCTGGATTCAGAGAAGATGATTTGCAAAGTATGCGGTACGCAAAAAATCAATATTATTGACATCTCAGACAGCGATGATGACATCACCATTCAAAAAGTGACGCCGAGTCATGGTCGGTCCAGAGGAAACAGTCGCCAACCGTACTGCATCGAGAAGAACCAAAATATAACGCGACGTAGATCTGAAATTCTAAACGTTGATGACATGAAAGAAGAATCAAACAATGACATCATTCCGAGAAAGTTGGACTCATATTCATACCTTCAGAACCCAATTGTCTTATCTGACGTTGAAGAAGAACTTTCCCATACTACGAAGAAACAGAAGGTTAATCATAATCAACCTCATTTAGAAATTGTACACACGAACGCATTTCAAACTTCGGTGGAAGAAGAATCGATTGCAATGCCCGCAACGTTGCTATCATTTAGTGTTTCAAAAAATACCGGGCGCATTACCATTCATTACGCTCGCAGCGGGGAATCTTCTCAGATTAATTTCGAAGTGAAACAAATCGTGACCCAAGAGACAGTGGATCGTTTTATGGAAGCACGTTTAAATCGCAGCCGTCATGCTCTTTCTTCTATTGCGCTTACCTACGACGAAATGTCTTTGAACAAATGTAAGAATTATAAAACGAGAAACAATGAGTTTTTTTGTTTACAATTTCTAACTTTTCTTGCCGTTGCCTTGCTTTCACTTTTGGTCAAAACGCACTGTTCTTCGTGCATGAAGTATGTCAAAGTCTTGATGCAAAGAAGCTTCGAGAGAATGTTTCCAAAGTAGTTTTGATTAATGAAATCAAAAACTTTGTCGACCAGTTCATGGTTTTGAGAGAAGTTGAAAAGAAAGTACTAAAGGAAAGTTGTAGAATTTACTCAGGAATTCATCTCCGACAGGAAATTCTTCGACTAATGCCAAAGTCATCATCTTACACTACCGAACGATACGAAGGTGGTGCAAAAGAACGGGCTCTAGAGCGAGTTGAAGTGGGAATTGGAGATACCAATGATATTGCAATTCTCGTTGGCACAAAATGTGCATATTGTGGTGAAGATCTCTCCAAAGTTTCTCGTTTGCCTGGTCTTATTTCCACATACTGCTCCCGAGAATGTACCGAACAAGGTCGATTGAAGAGAGGTGGAATGGGAAACCAATTGAGAGCACAAGTCTTCGCTCTAGAGGGTGGAATCTGCCAAATTTGCGGAGTTGATGGTTATGCACTCTTCACTCGCGTGCTGGGGTTAGAACCCGCAGAAAGACTAAATGCTTTATGCAATGCGAACTGGAAATTACCGAAGTCTGCAAAAGCGTTAGATCGACTACTCCAAAACCCAAGGGAAGGTGATTTTTGGCAAGCTGATCATATACGCGCAGTATCAGAAGGTGGTGGTGGCTGTGGTCTAGATAACTTACGAACTCTATGCGTGCCATGCCATACAGGTAAGTTTGCGCTGTTGAAAATGGAATATGCATTCCTGCCAGTGTTGTGTCGATGCATCTATTGCAAAAGCTATTTGAAGATTTTGTCTTATGACCTCACTTACATTTATGCACCTCGATTTAATTGTGAAGGCGAGACAGAAAAACTTCGCAGTCGTCTGAAGCTTCGAAACGAAGATGAACACAGTAATAAGACTCCGGATATTCGAACTATGTTCAAAATGAAGACAGCAACCATAAAGTGACTTGGTATGTCAAGGAGGACCTTGAATGATTCTATGCCATATACTCTTTTTGGATAATCCTGGTTCTCGGAAAGTTTCTGCCACAAGCTTCAAAATCGTTTTCGAAACAAGGCAACAAAAAATCCCATCGTGTCCGCTGTACCATTTGGTTCAAACCGACGCACGCAATCGAGTTCATTCGTGCTCAATCCAAATCCATTCAATCCGCGACGTCCAATGTTTTTCTGCCTCCATGCATTTGGGAGTTCGATTGGCATCAATTCCATGCAAGGATGTGCTCGCAAGATATGGCTCACCATGCCCTCGTTTTCATCGCCATTAATAGTGCAGGTACTGTAGGTCATATATCCACCTACCTTGAGTAACTTGACAGCTTGTTCGACAAATTTTCGTTGGTATTCTGCGTGTTTTTGCAACTCTTTCAAAGTTTCTTGCGCAATAAATAGTTTTGGTCGTAGTCCAAGAGCGCTACAGGGCGGATCCAAAAGAATTTTGTCGAAGGATTTTTCATAGAACTTTTTGATTTCTTTTAGCCCTTCCTTACCCACCTGGCCCTCTGCTATGATCTAGGTTACGCAAAAAAAGAAAGCAATTGGCCAATGTTGTTCATTGTTGTTCGTAAGGAAATATGATGAAGTTCAAGAACAATTCAATACACAAAATTCATTCCACACACTGGATTCATGATGACATGATTGATCTTGAGCCAGTGAACAATTAACGACAACGATTTCAATAGAACCAGAAGGGTATTTCACCTATCTTACCTGCTGAACATTTTTATCCCCGACATTTCCTACATTGCCAATACAACAATTAGTCGCATCCAAAGCCAAAGGAATAATACACGAAGCTCCCATTCGAGCAAAGAGTTCTTTCGCAGCCATAACCTTTTTCTTACTCTTGTCACATGCTACAATCAAAGCTTGATTGCGAACAAGGGAAGCCAAATGGGATGCCTTCCCTCCAGGTGCCGAGCACATGTCCAAGATAACGTCATTTGGTCGAGGGTTCAGCGCATGGCCCACTAATACTGATGGTAAATTTTGAAGCATCATTTTGTTAGGTAGAACGCCGTACAAAGGTGGAAGGGGAGGGCCCACTCGATCTTTTGGATCGAGTGACATGATTATGCCAACTCCTTGAGCCTTGCTAAAGATTTCGTTCCTCGAACATTCTGCTCGTCCCAGTCCTAAATAAACACATCTTCCTCGGTATTGGTCAAGTTTCATCCCGCGAAGAACTTTCTGGGATTCGATCTTTTGTGGAATATCGGCATAGACGGCAACTTTCTCTCCAGCTTGAATATTTGTATCGGCGGCCAGAATACCCTTCACGAAGATATCGCTACCGCGAAGGACCGCTTCTCCACAAAAACGATCACAAACCACACTGCGGTAGTTCATAGACCAGCCCTGCTCTTTTCGTGATTGCCAATGATGGAACATGCTATTTGAGGTTTCAGCTTCGCCCTTTGCATTTGTTCGGCCTCCACCCTCGTCGTTTTCATGATCGTCGGGACCGGTCGAATTCGACAAAGTCGTTTTTTGGTAACCTTTATCGTCTGGATTTTTACTTTGGGAATCACAGTCATCTTGGGCTTTCGGGACAATATTGATGATGTCAGAAAATCCCGCATCTTCGACTACCTCCAATTGCGGAATGTGGGACAGAAGATTCTGCAGTTCACTCAAAACTTCCTCCCTCGATGACCGAATCAAATTTACACGGCAAGTTGTGAAAGCAGGGGGACGTTTCATAGCTGAAAATATGGCTCCCAAACTACAATCGCGACTTTCCTTCTGGGTCTTTTCTTCGGTATGATTACCATCGTCTATCGTTAGATGGCTACTGTACTGGTCGCTGAGGTGTTGCCTGATTTCATCGTTCAAATGGATTTCAAGACTCTGGAGGGAGCAAATGAAAGGTCCACCATTCGTGCTCATGATGATATGGGGCCACAACAAAGAACATTCAGAATCGAAAAGATCGATCGACAATGATGATGATCCTGATCCTGTTTGATGGGTTTGAGGATACTCGTACCGGAACGACAACAAATAAAACGATTGTTTCGCGGAATTCTATTAGTACTGTAGGGTAGGTACGAGTACGAGTACCGTATGCATGAAAATCCTCAAATGAACTTTCGGGTAATGGGTAATGAGCCTAATAGTACTACAAGTTAGAGGGGGGGGGGCGGGAGAGCTAGAGGGGGGAAATGAAGACGAGAAAATTTAAAATAATTGAATTTTCGTCGGTCGAGACGTCGGAGCAGTAGTCAATTTGTTGAGTCACGAATAAGTGGGGAATCGTTTTCATAAGAAAAGCTCCTCCATTCAAAAAAAGAAGAACAGATTTCAGTTGTCAACAGGGTCATAAAAAAGAATAAAAATTTTTATGACGTCATGAAGCAAAGATTGTTTGGTGTCAAGAATTCACCTTTCCTCCAATCATTCTTCTTGCACCTTGAATCGGAAACCCCATTCAAAAACGGGCGGCTGCACAAAAACATAAAAACCGACGTCAAAACAGAATCGGAATCCAACAACCCTCCTCATTCACAGGCTCAAGAATAAAAATTGGCTTTTCTTGACTTTTGAGGCGAAGTCTTTTTTGAAATTCAATTTCTTTTGCCGATCCTTTGAAGTTGAACTACCAGCAGAAGCAGTTGCACCGGGTGGTGCCATAAAAATTCGAAATTCGAGCACGAGCTCGAGCACGAGTACACCCGATTCACAATACATACTTTTCCCAGCACAGCCAATAGTTGTACATTCACACGATTACGTCCTTGGAATACAATCTTCCTCAAACATTATTCCAGTTCAAAGCACCATTGACAATGACACTCGAAAAGCTTTTTATATCCCGTTTAGTGGTGACTTTGGCCGTCCTCGTTCTTCACATCAACGCCTTAACAAATAATCATGCGGATGCTTTTTCAACATCAGGCTCAAGTATTGGGCACAGCGTCGGCACCAACAGCATACACAGATCTACAACTCGATCTGCGTCTATCGTCCGGCGACAAGCGAACGTTGCTAGTGAAATCCTGATGTCCCAGATCAAGGACGAAGAAGAACGAAAGGCATCTGCTGCGGCCGCAACCGAAGTACCCGCTTCCCCTTCGACCGAGTCGAAACCACAGGGCAAGCGAAGACGTCCCAGATCAGAGCGCAAAGCGCTGGAACGAGAAAAGAAGGCACGCAAGCAAAATAACAAGAAAAAGAACAATAAACAAAAGAAGTATAAATTACACTCCACAGCGGTTTCTCAACTCACTCAGTCGTCAASTGCCGACGAAGTCGTCCAGGCCATCAAAAGGGCGCAGAAGAATCATGACCACCACGACCTACGTGTGATTGCCAATTTTTTGATCGACGAATGCGACGTCGGATTTGCCTACGGATACCGCGGATCGCTCCTCGCACGATTGGCCGTAGCGGCACTCCGATGGGAAAACCACGAGGTGGCACGGCGGGCGATCGACATTCGGCGGCTCGAGTATAGGGCTTCGATGCAACCTATGGAATCTGCGGCCCTTATTCGCGGTCTTCTGCGCGTTCACAACGTGACGGATGCCCTGGGCATGATTGCCGATGAATTGTCTCTACCGATGGATGTAGGTATCGTCTTGAGCTGATTGATTGTCGAAAAAAGTGTGCACGAWCACGAGGCAAAAAAGCTTCGATCATCCTTCTCACATGCGTTTTTTACACTTCTTTTTCGAAATTGAATATTGGGATAACCCTTTTTTCYATGCGTGCATTTTTGGATTGATAACAACAAATACGTTTACAGGGATCCGATCTCGAGACGGACGAAAACCACGAAAAAATTAAACATCGGGCTCGATCTCTCGCATCTGTGGCATCTCGGCATCTTTTTGAGGGAGAACCTTCCATGGCTGTCATGGCCTTGCAGATGCTGAAAGATATGGGTCCAATGGCACGGTATCTGACTGTCGAAGAACTGGATATTCCATGGTTGCGCCTATTATCGGGGGCAGCGCAGTGCGAAACAGGAAGGMGAAAGGGAGATATTCAACCTTGTGAGGGGCTCGCCGAATCCGTAGAACTCCCCTGTAACTTGGCGTACAGCGTGTTGAGTGCCATGAGTTCCTTTCCCTCCGACAACGACGATTTGATATACGAAGCCTTGTCGAACTGTCTCGTAAGAAGAGTCCTCTTCATCACGGGGGCCGTGGATATGAAGGGGCTTCCACCGCCTGATAGAGGAGAAGCTGTGTTCATYGGACGATCCAATGTTGGAAAATCGAGTTTGGTCAACATGATCACCAACCGCAAATCCCTAGCATACACAAGTAAAACTCCCGGGAAGACGCAACAATTCAATTTCTTTGCCGTAAATGACAAACCCGGAAGAGAGAAGGAAATTCGATACGGAGACAAGGTCGACGGRAAGAAAGATGACGACAGCTTTTATTTGGTGGATCTACCAGGATTCGGATTCGCCAAAGTCCCCGACGAACAGAAACAACAATGGTCCTCCTTCATGGGAGAATACTTGCAAAATCGTAAGAATCTTAAAGTCGTCTTTCACTTGATTGACTCCCGACACGGACCCATTGATGAAGACAACAACATCATGAAACAGGTAGGAGAAAATTTACCGGCTAATGTTGCATACGTCGTTGTGTTGACCAAATCCGACAAGAATGTGAAGGGTAGTTCTTCAAAAAATAGGAAAGCCGGCAAGGTATCCGTGGATGTCATGAACAGGCTCCGCGATGTCATGCGGGAGAACAATGTCGGCAAGGCTCCAGTTCTCCTAACTTCAGCAGAGACTAAGCTCGGACGAGATGATATTTGGAGGTACCTTAGGCGAGCCGCAGAAGGTAAATGAGGATTGTTTGAACAAATCACTCAGTGGGCTATCCGAACGAAAAAGTAGAAGACAATACCGTGACACGACTGCCCTTTTTGCAACACTGCTGCCAATAATACAGTGAAAAAAACGAACAGCGCTTTCAACGAGCTTCTCCAGCAGCAAAAGTTTTGAATCAATAAAATGTAAATAAGAATCTTTGACGAATCGTCTGTTGTTTTCCTAATTTAATCTGGTAGATTTCTATCTGATACAAAGAGTCAGCGTTCTCTTTGTTTTGTATATGTATCGATGTAGATCGATAGCACGTAAACTTTGGCCGTTGCAGTTATTCCTCTCGGTAGGACTGTCATTCAAATGTTAACATAATGTTTTTCCTTCGAAATTCATTCTTCAGAAAGTTGTGATGATATGTGCTCATGTCCCTTGTATGTTTTATTCTCTGAGATCACTTTCGATGTATCAATGCTACTTCTATCTGCACTTCTAAGATGGTATGCAATGGTCTTCAATCTACGTTTCTGTATCTGGGACAAAGTTTACGAATCATCGAGTCTACTACAACATGAATCAAATAGATTCAAAACAACGAAGACTTTTTCGTGAAAAGGCGTCCAACGATTTTCTACGCAGTTTCGGCTTGTTTTTTTCTTTCTGCTTTCTTGGCCTGTTTCCGGAGCGATCGCTCGATTCTTTGGCGTTCTTTCCGATCGCGTGCTTTGCGTTCTTTGAATTTCTTCACCAATTCGTCAAATCCAATGTCCATCAGTTTGATTTTGGCCAAACGAGCCGCCTTGGTCACTGGCCCCAACATCCGTATGGCGGCTTCATCGGTAATTTCGGAACATTTTTCGAGAGGTCGTCCAGTGATTTCTTCGGCTGCATGAACCAAGGATACGTCTTGTTCGGAAACCAAACTGATGGCACGGCCGCGGCGACCTGCTCTTGCAGTTCTACCGATACGATGGACATAGGACGTTGGGTTTCTGGGTAATTCTGAATTGATCACTAAGTCCACGGAGGGTACATCGAGACCCCTACTGGCGATATCTGTGGCAACCAATACCCGAACCTGTTGGGACTTAAATTTGCCAAGGGCAGCTAGTCGTCGATTCTGCGTGAGCAACGAGTGTAATGCCACGTTTTCTACTCCAACTTCGTTTAATATTCCTGAGACCAACGCTGCGCGTTCACAGGTAGCAACGAATACAATAGCCGACCGAGACTTCCCTTCCTCTTCGTCGTCGCTGTTCTCGTCTTCGCCTCTACCCAGGGAAACCTTCCTCCCCCCTCTCCAAGCATGGCGACCTTTGGAATCTTTTGCCCGTCCTCCATTCGACAATATATTTCGAATAGTTGTTAAAAGATAAGCATCTCGGACTCTGGATGGCATAAAAATGTATTCTTGCTTCAAGCCTGCAGGAATTCGTGGTGTGAGGGCCTCTTCAATACGTTTCTTCCTCTCGACTTCGTTTTCGGCACTGTCACTTTCGTCATTTCCACATTCAACCACACCATCTTCATCGTCACTTTCTTCACTAGTTTCTTCGTTCTCCGCACCAAGTTTCTGTCGCTTATTTTTGTTGCTTTCGTCAGACTTGATCACAAATTTCTTGAGCGGCAATCGCCCTTTTCCAGCCCCCGCAATTTCTTCGACACTTTCCAAGCTCCTTGTCATTGTAGCACTAAAGAGTAATGTTTGACACTGCGTCCGCTTGTTCCGATTGCAATGCAAGAGCAATTCCGCGACATCCTTTTCGAACCCCGAATTGGCTGTCAGGAGTCGATCGGCCTCGTCCAGCACCAAAAATCGAACGTGTTGGAGCTTCGGTGGACTCGGTCCGCGAAGTAACTCCGCCAATCGGCCGGGTGTTGCAACTACAAAATGAGGCTTCCGATGCTCCAGTGCAGATGATTGTTTCGTCATGTCCATGCCACCGACTACCAACGTCGATTCGATATTGTAGGAGCTTCCCAAAGCCAACACTTGCTGATGGATCTGCTTCGCGAGTTCCCGCGTCGGACTGACAATCACGGCATAAATGCCATAGGGATCGGCCGACAGCCGATTCAAAATGGGGAGGACAAATGCTGCTGTTTTTCCACTTCCCGTCGAAGCCAACGCCAAGACATGAGCCGATTCATTCCGCAACAAAAAAGGAATAATGTGTCGTTGCACGGGCGTAGGACGTTTGAATCCCAGAGCTTTGCAAGTTTCGACAAGCGGATCGGTCAATCCAAGGTCTTCAAAGCCTGCCCAGGGAGATAACGCTGGAACATCGTCGAAGCTCGTGTCGCTTTTTTCCGCTGCACGTTCGCCAGAACCATTTTCTTCTTTGCTTACAGCAGATATCTCCTCTTGTTTCCGTTTCAACAACAGTTTCGCATTGCGCTCTTTGCTTCCGGTGTGATGCGATTTGTGCTTCTTGCCAAACAACGAAGACATCGTGTTCGTCCTCTATATTTTATGTTCGCAAGAATAGTCAAGACGTCGGTTAATCGCTTCCTTGGAACCGACTTTGTCAACTTGCTGTTGAAGTTCCAAATTCCAGAGTCGTCTTTTCGGTTGATGGAAAGCTTCGACTTCTCTTTTTTCTTTTCGTCGAAGACTTTCTCCAAGTCAGTTGCAGTACCGTACCGTAGCGTTTCTAAACAATTACTGTAGTGTTTCCTGAATTCTGTCGCGAAAGCGATTTTTTCGGTGGCCACTGTAGTAGGTACCGTAAAGTCAATACAGGTTACGGACAGACTGATTGTTCTGATTCAACTAATGCAAGTAGGTACTCGTATCGTAGTACCATAGCAACTACGGTACTTCACGTGCTACATCATACGGTACTCCTCGTACCTACAAGTAGTACTTACTCCTCGAAACAAAAACCTGATTTGTTGGCTGCTGCTCTCCTGCTAAGACCCTATCAAGTACAAGTAATCCCAACCAATGCAAGTCGTCCAGATCCAAATTACAACAAGTTTCATACGATATTCCTACGGAAAACACCATCAACAATGACTGAAATTTTTCAGTTGGTCCTAGGCGATTGTTGAAATCAATCTACGTTCATAAAGTATTAGATGTCTTGGCTTTTTTCTTCAGAGGTGACGCTACATCGTCGATCTCTCTTCCTCCTCCGAAAAGATCGAAGTTGCCTTCTTTCTCGTCGTCACTATCTTCTTCATCATCATTTTCTAATTCAACGCCTCCTTCCATCTCATCATAGTCGTCTTCAAATTCGCCGTATCCACCTTCTTCTGCATTTAACATTTCTTCCAACATGGCATCCTCGTCGTCGTCGTCGTCGTCATCATCATCGCCCTGTATTATTCCATCTCCTAGCGTTCCTTTAATTTCAACGTGCAGGTTGGAAGTAGATTTGGCTGTAGTAGGAGCCGCAGTCGCTGGATTTGTCGAGAAAATTTTCTTATCTTTTCTGTCTGGATTTTCGAGAGCACCTTGCGCTTTCTGTTCTTTCATAGCATTGACGAATTCTACATAAACTTTGCGTCGGTAGGTTTCTTCCAATTCCTCTTCATGCTGTTTGCAAAAATTGTAGCACGCTTTTATGACGGATTTGTCTATATCGAACCGTTGGTAATAAATCAGGAGTTGTGCACAAACCAACAACAGCCGAATGTGCAACGGAGGAAACCGAACTGTGGTATCGCTGTCATCATTTGTAGTGGAAGTGGACGAAAAGTATTTTGAATGATTAACGAGAAGAGGGGCCTCGTAGTCTGGATCGGAAGCAACGAAAGATATTGCAATTCTTGGAGATGATGCTGTGGTTGATGTTCTACTCGGACCACCATCGTCATCGTCGTCTTCGTGGCCCGAGTCAGGATCACCCTGCGAGCCCCAATGAATAATTCGATGAGTGAAAAGAACTGACTGGCCAGCCTTTCGAGGAAGACATCGGATGTGTTGGAAGGATTCTTTCGTGGACAAGGCTCTATGCAGGGGATTTGTGATTTGGTTACCACCTACAGCATCACTCGATTCGTTGTCATCCTCTACTTTTTCGATATCACCGTTGGTATATCCGGGATCAAATGGCTTTGGAATGACATAAAGGCAAGAATTTTCTGGTGTTGCATCGGACAAGGCAATCCAATTGGTAACAAACTTCGCTTGTTGGTCGTCGGAATGAAAAGTAGAAGGAGCATCGTCGGGTTGTCGATCGCGATGAGGACTGAACCCCGGGCTTCCCGGCGGAATATACCAAGCGAGGAGGTCGTAATTGAATGCATTTTTCTCGTGGGAGGCATTYTCCAAGACCTCCTTGGATTGGCAAGCGAGGTGCCATGACTCGTCGAACAGCAAAATGAATGTCGCAGGAAGATGTTGTTTGTGAAGGGCTTCAATTCCTTCTCGAACCATACGGACATCAAACGAATCATTCACAAGAGCATATCCATTGCGTATGAGCTTTTCTCTTCTCCGCTTGTGTTTCGTTTGACTTTTTTTGCTACATACATGAGATTTTTTCCGACTAATACTGCCACTAGCACTCGGTGTCGATAAATCAATAGAGAGTCCGGGGCAAATTGCCATCCAAGCGTCAGGATCGACTCGTCGCTTGTTATCTGTTAGAAGCGAAGCCAGATCGATCCTATCAGCCTCTTTTTCACAATCAACTTTCGATGATGCCGACATTGGAACTGTTCGCTTCACTTCGGTTGTCCTCTCGGTGTGGCTTTTAGTTAGGTAGAATCCCAATTTTTTCAATTTTTTCCAAACAGTGGAATCTGTTTTGGATTGGATACTCTAGCTTTTTTTACTTCTCAATCGTTCGTTTAGTATGATACGAGCTCGTACATGACTGGTGATGGGAGCAACTTCAGTTTGTGAGAGGGATTTTTGACATCATGTCGTCGTAAGGGTCCCACAGGTTTAAAGTACAGTACCATCGGAAATACCGTACGATTTGTACTAGCATCTCACCCAACTTCGCTTCGGAGGGAAGTTTTCTCCTACGGTACGGTGGTACATACATTACGCGTACTCACAATTCCAACCAAGTGCACTAGTCGAACCAGTCATACAAAATCAATTCGGGAATGAATGAATCACCAAACAAGTTGAAGTTTTTGGAGGTTCCAAGTGTCGTCATCGAACACAACCTTGCAAGGATTGTCTTCTAGATCCAAACTTGGAGTTTATTCCGTTCTTTTCCATCCTACCAGCCGGTTGGAAAATGTGTTTTCATGGTACATGAGGGAAACAGCACTCTGTCACCAACGTTATCATTATATCAAATAAATCGTTTACCATGAAGTTTTTTGCCACCGCCTTGTTCCTTGCTTCATCAGCAATCTCCGCCTCTGCCTTCTCGGCTGTCGCCCCAAAAGCAAATGGTGCTGCCACCGGGAGCCCCGAGCCTATCGACAAATCTTTGAAAGGAATTGATGCCGAGGGTTCGTTCGATCCCGTCGAAGGAGAAAATGCCGCCCTCTCACGAAACAACAATGGTGAAGTTTGGGTGCAACAGGTAAGGATCACAATTTCAACATAACTCGAAGGATTTTGATGATGATAGCCGTCTTCTTCTCTCGATGACAACATGCAAAATATTCTTATTTTATTCTACTTTTTCGATCCGACTGGTTTACGAAGAGAAAACGTCCTCGTCGCAACAGAAAATCTCCTACGCTGCGAGGAATGGTTCGTGAGAACATTGTCACTCCTTCAAACTTCATCTACCCTCTTTTCATTCACGACGAAGACTTCAACCAACCTATCGAATCTATGCCTGGATGCGAACGTCATTCTCTTGACTCCATGCTGAAAGAAGTCGGAGAATCCTACGAATTGGGTGTCAAGACTTTTGTTTTGTTCCCGAAGGTCCCCGATGAGTTGAAGACGAACTTGGGAGTTGAGGCATACAATCCCGAAGGCATCGTTCCTCGTGCCATTAGAATGATCAAGGAAGCATACCCTGAATCGGTTGTCGTTACCGATGTTGCGTTGGACCCTTATTCCGACCAAGGACACGATGGTGCTGTAGAAGACGGAAAAATTTTGAACGATGTTACCATCAACCAACTTTGTAAGCAAGTTATCTGCCAGGCTAGGGCCGGTGCTGATATTGTTGCCCCCAGTGACATGATGGTAAGATCCACTTTAAACATTCTTTACAGCGTTTCCTTGTTCATGTTACTTGACCGCAGTCCTTGCTCACTCTTTTTAATTTCTGTCGATCAGGATGGCCGAGTGAAAGCGATCCGCGATGCTCTTGATTCGGAAGGTTTCACCGATGTCTCGATTCTTTCCTACACTGCCAAGTACGCCAGCGCTTACTACGGGCCTTTCCGAGATGCCTTGGACAGCCACCCTGGTTTCGGCGACAAGAAAACTTACCAGCAGGACCCTGCCAATGGCCGAGAAGCATTGATCGAAGCTGCATTGGACGAGGCCGAAGGTGCTGACATGATGATGGTAAAGCCAGGTATGCCTTACTTGGATGTCATTCGTCGTCTGAAGGATGCCTCTGCTCTGCCAATTGCCGCCTACCACGTTTCGGGAGAATATGCCATGATCAAGGCAGCCTGCGAACGCGGCTGGTTGGACGAAAAGGCTGTTGTGATGGAGACTTTGACGTGCTTTAAGCGAGCTGGAGCTGACATCATTCTTACGTATTACGCTAAGCAAGCTGCTCAGTGGATCAAGGAAGATGGTCTCTACTAAGTAGCTTGATAATACTATGGCAATAATAGATATGATTAATTTAGAAAAGCGCATGAACTTCAACCCCCGAACGAAAAAGGAAAAAATAGAGCTATTTCTAATGGTCAACRAAYGACCTCATTTTCTGTATAATTTTTTCCCAAAAGTTTCTGCCATTCTCTAGGAAATCATTCTCCTTTTGCAGTAAGTGACATYGAAATTGAAAAATAAAACTCCWAAAACATCATGCATCAGAAAGAACTGAAATGAGCTGAGCTCGTCAGAATTTCCTGAAATTTTCGTACTTGATGATGCCCTGCCGCCCAWTAAACAAGTGAGTTCCAAACGGAGTTAACCAGCTCTTGAATCAATCCCCTCTCACCAKTTAATGTWTTGAAAACAATGAGTCGACAAAGATCCATATCTTGACATGAGTTAAGACATCCAACGTAGCTTAGGCTAGTGCGAATTCCCCACAGTAAATCATTGAATGTGWTCATAACGCGTCCATTATGATGGTGTTAGAAGGATCCTCTGCAAGGAGTTTATCGGATTGTAAAATCTTGGCTTCCAGTTCTTGAATCAACTTTTCACGCTCCTCGTTTTGTTTTTCTAAGATCTCAATCAAAAGCTCCCGGGATTGGTGTTCTCGGAATTTGTTGGTTTCTTCCAACATGAGAAATACATTGTGTTCGAGTTCGTCCCTCCGCTTTCTAGAATTCAATATCCATTTATCATTTAGATTTATTGATGGAGCRAAYCAATTCCATTTCGGGTGAGAGGGTAAAAGAAATGAAATGTTTAGCACCGTTACTTTGAAGTGGGACAATGTCACCATTCATTTCCGACGGTTTGGGATTGAAAWTCATTATTGGTACTCACTTATTTTCAGCCGGTCGATTGACTAGGTCGTTAACTAAATTTATGAATCCTCGAACGACTTCGCGGTTTAACCTTTTCACTTCGTCTCGAATTACGAGTGGATCCTCACACGGGTCCAACGGCTKGAATAACAACGGATCTTCTACAACTTCTCCAAAAACTGCCACGACATCACCTTCCTCTTCCTGCTCTAATTCATTCGCTGCGTTCCCGGCCAAGACACCACCCAATACATCCCCTGTTTGATCTGCCAATCTCTGCTGCTCTGCTTTGGCACGAGCAGCAGCAGCGGCCGAAGCTGCCTTTCTGGTCCCTCGTTCAAGGGCTTCCTTCGGGATTTCGGGTGGTGTCAACGTCGACGCTTCGGTGTAGTAAAATGGCGGAGGGGGAAATTCTGATACCAGTAAAGTGGCCTCACCTGCCTCCCCTTCTTCCGCAACGGAGGATGGATCGAGTGCATTGGTTGAGGTCATTATTCTGTTTTGAAACGTATCCGAGCAGTTGCGTGACTCTTTACTTCGAAAGCTGAGTYCGGAATTCCATCGTTACAATGATAACTTGGAATTTATTTGATCAACCCGCAAGACCTTTTCCATTTGCGTACGAGTTACTGTAAGTACGGCACGGTACTCGTACCGTAGTAAAGTACAGTAGCTACCGTACAGAAAAAGTGGGATGGGGTTAACCATGGGCGAATTAGATTAGTCGAGTGAGTCAGGAATATKCTCTCCGTGTTGGTCGAGAAGCCAACAATATTTTAATTTAATTTCGATACAGTAGTAACACGAAAAACATACGACCTATCATGGTCAATCTCACTCCCAAGCGATGATCCAACAGTTGTTCTAGTGCCTCCCTGCTCCAGCTATTGCAAGACATCCATCTCAATCAACATCCCACCGCCATAAAAGAAAACAGCAATTTAGCATGGTTGCAATGACTCTCGAGCCCACGGATGAAGATTACATCAACTCGATCGAGGACTCTTTTTTCAAATCGGTCGCGCAGCAAGTTGTAAACATCGRYACAGCCACCACTATCACCGATGGTGAGAAAGCGGCATCTGCGAACACGCGATTAGAAGACATGGAAATTACAGTCCGAAGAAAGTTATTGGAATTGCTATTGGTGGAGGGAAATAATCTGGAAGCCTCTGATTGCAACGGAAATGATCTTAAAAGAACAACTGCTGATGCAATTGGTATCTTTTGGAAATCGACGCTTGATCTTTGTCACCATTTGGTTCACCATGCGTTGCGTTCCAGAAATTTAGAAACGAAAACTACTGTTTATGAACATTTAGCATCATGCCGAAGATTGCCCTATATACTATTATCAGACTGCGTGGATGGTTTGCCCTCTMTAGAGGATGTACAGCACTTCTGGAGCACCTACGTGGAACCTTCTTTGGTTAACCGTGTCCTTTTTGGAGATAAATTTTGGTGTCGGTTGACAAAAGAAAACAATASTAATGGTATAATCTTGCCAAACAGTCACTTACCCTTTCTCAAAGTCGCTAATCAATTCCTAAAACGATTGGGGCATACCTCAGACACTGCAATGCTTGTCGAATGGAAGGGGCGGATTTTGTGGGCCTTGGCAAGGGGATTTTCTGTTGCCGATAAGTCGTCCCTAAAATTATGGGGAAACTTTCACACATCCAATYTAACAGATTTCGAAAACGAGGAAGAATTCAACCAGATTCCTAGAGCTGTGGTATMTAATTCTGCGAATGCGGTCGACTACAGTCTCTATGAGGCCATGTGGTCATTGCAAACGGACTTTGCAAATCCGAATAAAATTAACGTGAGGGAATTCATAAGAAAACTTAAATTGGTTCTTGCAGCCATGGAATCGGCATCGACAACGACATGYACCGATAGCACAGTTGCTCTCAAACGTGACGATGACCAGATAGAAAATATCGCCACTACAAAAAACACAACAAAATATTTAACCTCTTCTGCCCTACTACCCTCCCAGATCGAAGACCCAGTTTTTCGGTCGAATATTGTGACACAACTCTTGATTGTTGGCTCGCATTTGGGTAGCGAATCACCRCCCTTGAAAAATGCACTTTCCAGTATCCTGGGACGCGCCCGAAAACTTTTGAAGAACGACAACCCTCAACTTCACGATATCTTGTGGGGATCTATACTGGCAAATGGAAGAGAAAATGATTGGCGTACATGGAARAAACAGAAGTGTTCTGCCAGTGCATTTGCTCCAAAGTTTCAACGAAAGCACGAGCTCGTCTTAGACAGCGATTCAACGGATGGGAGCAATCGTCAGCGCAAACGAAAGGAACCGTTCGGCAAGAATGGCCAGAACATCAAGACGAGTGAGAAAACTGTTTGTTCTACTTCTAACAAATTCTTGGGCAATAACGATCTTCAAAATCTCAAAGATAACATTCCAACCTTGGAGGTGCACTTGGAACCTTACGTGGAAGCTCTCGATCCTGAGTCGGGTATCGAAGATGAATATCATCCGAAGAATGATTCCTTATTCACATGGCGAGCTATGAGATTGTATGCCAAACACAAGCTGCCGTTAATGAACCAATGTAGAAAGCCTGCAGATCTCGAAAAGATAACTAGAAAATGGTATCGGCTGTCTCAYGGTAAGGACATCCCTGGAGGATCGAACGCTATTGAAGAATCAGATGGCAACAACGATGATGGTAAGAAAAATGATTCCGTTTCTTCAGAGATCAGAGAAAATATCGATCACCAAAAAGAGAACAGTAGCGAGGGAAAAAAGACGAGTATAGAAAAGATTGACCCGGAAAAGGCATCAGAAGACGTCAAAGATATCAGTGATGGCCCGAGTGATTCAAACATGGCCGATGTCAGCGAAAGTKTTGAGACTAAMGAGAATACAAACGGTAAAAACGAAGACGACACAAATGATTCAAACATGGCCCATGTCAACGAAAACAATGACACCGAAGAGAATAACATCAATTTGAAAAAAGATGAGCCGGATGATTCAAAAATGGCCGATGTTGACGACAGTAATGGGACTGACACGAATGGGGATTCAAAAACGGTCRATGCTAATAACGGAGATGGCAACAAAATGAATACATTCGACAAAAACGAAGACGATACAAATGAAACAAAAATGATCGATGCCAATGATAGCAATGACAACCGAAAGAAAACGGATACTCCCGACGCACATGGCACCAAGAAAATCGAGGGTTCGAAGCMGCCTTCTACTAAACATAGCGACCAGAAAAAGGGTTCAGATGACAGGCATCGGMATTACAAGAGTAACAACAAAAATATCCAATCTAATCAAGTAGAAGAGAATCGAGTTCCTCGCGAGACGCATCTACCTCAGAATCGAGTCGGCRGCGGGAGAAGAGGCGATCTTGGCGGTAGAAACAATCAAGAACGCGGCAGAAGGGACGACGGAGGAAGAAACAATCAAGAATATGGAAGACGCAACRATAGTGTGCAACAAAGAAGGTGGGGTGAAGATTTGCAGCAATCAAGAGGGCGACCTGGTGGCGATGCTTCATATAGAGGAAGGTCAGATGGCCCACCTGCTAGAAGAGAAGGAGGGCGATACGATGACGACTATCGTGGAGATAACAGAGGGCAAAGATTTGATGGAGAAAGAGGTAACAGATCTGGTGACAGAGACAACTATCGTGGTGGCGACAGAGGCGGAGGAAGTGGAAGAGGAGATGACCATCGTGGTGGAGAAAGAAATAGGAGAAATAACGAGAGCAGACCCTACGGAGGCGGAAATATCAGGCGCCGAAGATGAATAAAGGAAGGAATCCGATTTAAAGGTTTGCAAATCAAAGTTTACGGTTAGAACTATCTTGCCTCTGCCGGTATTCGATAGGTCGCCTAAAGCATTATGTTACGTCTTTATGGTTACTTCTTTATGACAAAAAGTAGATTCTAGTATTGAGCGAACGCAAAATTACTGGCCTGGTTGTACCACAGATTTTRCAAGGATTAATGAGGTAAGAATGACGGTCTTACTGTATCACATTATTGAATCCCGCAAAGAGCGCTTTGAAGGCCTTCGCAAAGTGATTTTGATTGCTGTATTTTGTATTTTGAACAAAMCAAACGAAGATTGCTGAAAATATTCTTCAGGGAAGTGAGGTATTGACGATCCATGTACTAGACTCGCAACAGGAATCAAGGTGGTAGGCGCTGCTAAACAGAGGGTAGCTAGGTGTTTGAATAATCCTGTCATCTCAAGATTGTACTCAGACTTCAGGGGAACTGGGAACTTTTCAAAAAATTTCTGGTAGCAGAGCATATATTATGGTAAGATTCATGGTGGCAATGTGGTACTTTATGGTAGCAATCTGGTATGGTAATGTTTCTGGTAACGGTCATATTTAGCAATAGTCTGAGATTTTTGTTGACAATGGTGGTGGTCCCAGGACTAGTTGTTTAAACTTCCAGGATTGCTTGTTCCTATAATTAACTCACAAACAGCAACAGCAACTTGATTCAGAGCATCCCTGGCAACATCAATAGGAGTAATAGTAGCAGMAAAATAGTGAAACTAAAAGCAAAARCAAGCATCKCCTGGTTCTTTGAYGATGTTCTCRTAATTTTGCAATGATGGCAAGAGCTGGATCATCATCATTGAAAATAGGCAGAAGAAAGCAAGAACAAAGGAGGAACCCTCAGCCAGTCTATGAGAAGCTAGAGCTATCTTTGAAGATTGCTTGTTTCAACTACTGGTCTTGTTTGCAAAGTCAAGGATCAACATGTTGCAAGTCCAGTGGGGGTTAGTAGATCTCTCACCAACCCAATTCTTTCCAGGAAGGGGGAAAGGAAAATGAGAAGTTTTTTCTCAAAGAGCAACAACAAGCATAAGATCCTTCTATTGGTGGAGGAGCCACAAAGTATTGAATGTCCCTGTTGTTAGCAGTAATTACCAGTTCTTATTGACAATACATGCTAATAGGCATCAAAGACCTTCTAATCCCAGATTTAAGTACTATATTGTGTACTGTATCAAGTGCAACTATAATAGATTGCAGAAGCAAAGAACTTTTATGTCCCTTTACTGGGGCTCTGAGGTTGTCTCTTAAATGTTGTTGCACTGTGTTTACCTTCAGTGATGTGTTGTACAGCAAATTAACCTCCTGAGATACAATACTGACAACAGATTAATGGCAGTTTTGCAGCAAAGTTTCTTGCTTGTACCTGACTTTCTTTGCAATAGCGTTGAATGCATCATCATGAGCACATTTTGCAAGAACTTGTTCACTGTCTTGATATCACCTTGTTTAGGAGTATCTGGACTCTCTTTTAACAGGACTGGTGCAAGGGACCCCTTCTGCAGATCAGCAAGACTAGTATCATCCTTGCTCTTTGCTGGTAGCAATGGAGCTGCTGCTGTTGGTGGATTGGTGGTGATAACTGATGTTGCTGTTGGGTTGGTGTTTTTAGTGAGAACTGATATTTTTGCTTTCAACTCCTCCACCTTTAGGCCTGATAGGTTTGCAAGCTCTTCCAAGTTGATTAACATTACCACTTCCTTACTAGTAGAGGAGGTCAAAGCTGATAATTCTGGTTGCTTCTTCTTTGAGGACATACTAAAGGAACACCCAAGACAATTAGGAGGGCCCTTCACCATCCTTTCCATGCACCGTTGTACTCTTCTTTGCAATGCTTTGTTGTTTGCCTCTTCTTAAGTGAACTGAGCAGATAACATAGCTCTCTGTGTGAAAACTGGTGTGTTTTTACTGCACTCATAACCTGTAGAAATTAAAAGTCTTGTTTCGCACTCAAACTCGTACCTGAAAAAATGAGGGGTATGCACACGTATGGGCCAACACATTCTTTTCATTCTCCCGTCTCCATTTCCCCTCTCCCCCCTTCCAAACACATAAACTCCGTCCAAAAATATTTCTATTAATGGTCCTTACTACTGGATAGGTAATTTCATTGCTTACTACTTCAGAACTAATACTGGAAAACCTCCATCAGTGCTTACTAGTGGGTTTGTCATAGTAGTAGTGAGCACTGCGAACTGCTGAGTAAAGGGATTCTGTATAGAGATCGGAGGAAATGTAATCTAGTGCACTACAGGAGAAACAATAGAAAGAATTGTCTCTTTCACGAAAACAACGCATACACTTCCTATCCAGGATTTCGATCCTTGTATAGGCGGCGCCCCCGTCTGGGCTCCCAGTTAAAGCCAAGTGCATCAAGTTGTCTTCGACGGGCATCCCCGTTCTCYCCTTTCAAATAGTTTCCCTTGACACGAATGTCACGAAGCCTTTGACCAAGTGGAAAGTTCCAAAGATATTCTACCATGGTTTTTTCAATTGAACAAAAAATACCRTGAGTTTGCTTTTTTCTCCTTCAGTAAATRTAAGACTTGAAGAGAATGTCACAGTTCTTATGTACTGTTGCGTTGTCAAACTTACCAGGCCATGGCCATGCGTCGTCACTCCCTACTAGGCGTGAAGCCCCTGAATCCTCCTCACTTTCGTCGTCTTCGGTAGCTGCTACAACTCGACGAGGGGGTGCTGGAACTACGAACTTCGTAGGGACGTCAAGTTGATTATTGTTCATTTGCGAATAAACTGCAGCAGCATGAACGACTTCTAGCCATCGTAGATTGTTATTACCTCCCGAAGTATAGAAACCCAGGTCTGCCAAAATCCTAACTCGATCGGGATGTCCCTTTATGTACAACTCCTTTTGCCGTACTTGCGTACATCGTTCACCAAGGGGATAACCCCACATGTCAGTTGGCCAACGACTGCTTCGAGGGACGACAAACTTCGAGGGAACCTTGAGAGCGCCTGAATGATTTGACTCCTGGTGGTGCTGCTCAACTTTGCCATAAAGTTCAAGTGCAGTCGTAAACTTTGAAAAACGCAGTTCCTGAACATCCCACACAAATCCAATAGCATCAAGCTGTGCTCTTCTGGACAGACTATTGCTATTCCTCGCTCCAAGATAATCACCCCTGTTACGAATCTTGTAGACTGAATTTCCAAGCGAAATCCCCCAGCAAGCTTTCGGCCATCGATTATCGTCGTTTGGAACGACAAAAGTTGATGGGACCAATGTACTGCCAAATATGGCTTTGTAGATGATCAAGCTTTCTAATATCAAGTTCCACTCCGGTTGAAGCCTTTCCCAAACAAATCCTATTCGATTTAATTCACTTACTCGATCCGGCTGGTTTTTGACGTGACGTTGCCACCACCGCATGGTGTAAACAGTTCCCGCCAAATCGATACCATGCCATACAGAAGGATATGAGGAAGATTCGGGGACCACAAATCGTCGTGGTATTACTAGGTGGGAATGTTCGTCGTGGAAGGCTTGCAGCGCTTGTAAGGTATCTTCGAATGGAATAAATAACCCGTTTGGACTGGTTGTCTTTTTGCTTCTCGAGCTGCCAGCGGTTGAAGTTTTACTGCGTTTCTGTTCTTTTCTATTRATCATACTCCGAAGAATCATACTTGGCTTTTTCTTAGGCTTTCTCGGGAGTGACAACCAAAGCTCGTCCTCCCTACGATCCAAATCGTCAAAATTGTCATCGAAACCCGTATTGAATATAGRATCCTTTGCGTCGAGGCGAGGTTTTCTTCGGGCGTGTCGATTTTTCAGCATTTCTTGAACCCTGATGTGATCTTGGAGCGATGTAGTAGCAGAKATAGACTTTAAGCCATCGTCTGACAGCAACAATTTCTGCATGCGTTCGTACTGCTTCTGCCTGTTCGAGTCTTCCGCCACCATTCCAAGCGTGGTGAGCGGTGAAAAAACAGCGACAACGATGGCCAACGCTTGTACCAGACGTAGCCGTTCAGTAACAATGACGACACCCATTGTAGTCTACTACAGTGGTTTCTGTTGTAGAGTTAAATCTACCAAACGCATTGTTTCATCGTTAGAATCTCCCGATACGAGATCTCTTCTGAGAAATGTAATGTCGAATCTCGACTGTTGATGATTGCAAGGAGCAAGTTCGCTTTTCTGTCAGAATTTGAGAGAAAAAGTAAACGTAAAACGTACTCGTACTTGTAAATCGTTCTCGGAACGTATCGTTGCGTTCGTACTACCGTAGTACGAGCCATGAAGTGCAACAACTTCATCGTTACGGTAGTTACGTATGTACAATACATACCTTACATATGGTACTGTTACACKTTTATTTATCTTGCTTTTGTCATTTTCGATGACGACAACGACAAAGGATTCAGTCGTCAGTCGTCGTCCATTTCAAAACCAGTTCCATGGCGCGAGATGTTTTGAGAGTAGAAAACGTTGTCTATTTTGGATTCTGATACGGTAAAGTACGTACTGACCGATASGCAAACTACTCGTATTTTACCGCATTCAACATCATTTCTTGAGTTCTCATCTGCTCTCTTTCCATCCAAAGTATCTGAGACTTCAAATTTTGCAACCAATTTTACGTAAAATACCCAATGGATTCTCTAACTTTTGAAAACGTTTCGTGCGGCATTGTTGCCCTCGCCGCTCTTAATCTCTGTWTGAAGGCAGTGTCRAATCTCTACAAGACATTTCTCCGACCAGCGAAAAACTTCAAAAAGTATGGAAAATGGGCTGTTATCACCGGAGCAACGGGTAAGTGCAGCGCCACGAACTTCTCCTCAGTCCGAGGATTGACAAAGTCTTCATTGTCGGATGAAAAAATTTGCGTCTTCCCTTGTCTGTATTATCTGCAACACGCACTTGTACTAATTTTTTCGTGCTTGGGAACACGTCTGTTTTCATGACGATTGATAGATGGTATCGGTAAAGCATACGCCTTTGCCTTTGCTAAGAAGGGAATGAGCATCCTTTTGATCAGTCGTACGGAGTCCAAACTACAGGATGTGAAGAAAGAAATCGAAGCGAAGAATTACAGTGGAGTAGAAGTTTCCTATTTGGTTTGTGATTATTCCAAGTTTGACAAAGCAGCACAAGAGAAGGTGGCTAAAGTTGTTAAGGAATTGGAAGTCGGAGTCTTGGTTAACAATGTCGGTGTTAGCTATCGCTACCCCATGTTCTTTCACGAGCTATCCGATAGCGAAGTTCAAGATTTGATGACCATGAATATTGACAGTACCGTGTGGATGACGCGAATGGTGATTCCGGGAATGTTGGAGCGAAAGAAGGGAGCCATTGTCAATATTTCATCTGCTTCAGCCATGTATGATTTGCCTCTCTTGGCGGAATATTCTGGCTCGAAGAGTTTCATCGAAAAGTTTTCCCGTGCACTCAATGCGGAATACAAATCCAAGGGTATCACTTGTCAATGTCAAATTCCCTTTTACGTTGCCACCAAGTTGGCAAAGCAAAGGAAGAGTTTGATGGTTCCCACTCCACCCGCTTTTGTTGCTATGGCGATCAAGTGGGTTGGTTACGGGGATTGTGTTGTGTCTCCCTTTTTGTTGCATGCAATTCAAGGCTGGATACTTGATATCATGCCAAACTCTCTCGTGTCTAAAATTATTATGAATATGCATCTTGGAATCAGGAAACGTGGTTTGAAAAAAGATGCCGCCAAAAAAGACTGAATTATTTGTGAAAGTGGTGAAGAAATGTCGGAAACAAAGAGCTTGCTCTGAATGGAATGAATTCATCGTAAAGTGCTTGAAGTGTTGTCATCTTCTAAACTATTAAAAAATCAATGGGTCATACCTGCTGGTAGTATATTTTACTGAAAGGAATTCGTAACAGAGAAGTGCATCACTAGCATCTTGGTGATTGCATCTGATGGCAAAGTCTATCTTGCAGCTGCTTCTAGGGCCTTGTTTGACTGATCTGACTCTGTCGTCCCGCTGTTGGTGTCTAGTAGTACTACTAGTAGTACTATGAGTTCTAGTAGTACCATTAGATTGGTCCAATCTATGTTAGTAGGAAGTACTAGGGATAAAATGATTGTGAGGACTCCTCTGAGTCCGACAATTGACAATGAGCTACCTTGCCGCTAGTAACATCATGAAGGAGCAGCTCGATCTCCAGTCAGTCAGAAAGAACAGTGGTGGATAAATTTCTCCATACTTTAACATAATGCATCAATCACATTTCCATCTCCTAGAATCAATCAAGATCAATACATCTTCTGAGGGAGGCAACCCCATAAAAAAATGGAGGCTACTGCAAAAAGCAATAAACAAGGATGGAAGAAAACTTACAAGCAACTGCTGAAAACACCAGACTTCCTTGTCAAAGAACTACACAAAGATGTATAGTACTACTAGTGGTGTTGATGCCCTGACAGTTCCCCAGACTCAGTGATGACATGGTACAACTGGGGACTGTTTCTTGTTCCTCTCAATCCAAAGTAGCAGACAAAGTTAATCAGGAGGAAGGCAAAGATCAAGAAGGCAAGGCACCAAGCAAAGCTCCTTGTTTACAAAAGAACAACCCCCAAGGCCTGTGATCACAACAAGCACTGCTGGCTGTCAAAACAGAAGCTCACCATTGTGCAGGGTAACATGGACAATCTAATATAAAAATGGGACTAGTATGAAATGTACACAAATTAGTTCAAATTTGTGATCAAAATTGATCACAAAAAACTGATCACAAATTTGTTATTTCTGATCACATTTTTTTGTGATCAAAACTGATCACAATTTTCAATTTTCGGTACCAGGAGGGGGGCCTGGGAATCTATTTTTTATTCCAAAAAATTGAAATCGACATGGTTCCTTTGAGTATTAGTACGGTACCTACTGGTAGGGACGGACAAGTTGGAACGTACGGTACGTACTTCACGGGGAGTCGTATTTGTTCTTCATCCCTGACTGAATGAATCCGACGATCCAATTTGTACCGGTACGACTTTTTTGATCGATAGATCCGTCAAAAATGGACCACTTGAAATGAATCCAAGCGGTTCAACACGGTGGAACACGGCATCCATCGTGACACCCACAGCAGCCATCCACAAATTTGGAATCAGACTGCCAACAATGATCAACATACTAACTTTCTTATGTCTGATTCCTATTGGTTTCGCATTTATTGATCAGTGCCATTTTCGTCCAAAAGGAAGGACAAGCCAGTCTAAGTGCAGGATTTCGTCGTCATCGCGTCGTTTTTTAACACCCCTAGCGGAATTCGACGAGTCGATTTCTTTCTTTTCGGAGTCCGAGAAATACAGATGCTGCATAGACGATAAGGGATTTTTTTCTGCGAGGCACGGTAGTAGCGATGGCTCTGATCGCTATGAACTAGGGCTGGTCGAAGAGGAGGAATTGCCTGACCTCTGCAAATTCATCATTACGGCATTCGGAGCCGAAGCAATTCAGTTAGCATCCGATATGAACAGTTTCGAACGAATGTTGCTAAATCCAGCAGCAGAATTTCTGAATGGCTACTCTGGGTTGGTGGCATTTGCTGAAGTCTTTTCTGGGACGAAACAAAGGTTGGCAGATCGATTTCAGGAAAATCCTTCCCTGGTCGACATTTCTGCACCGGATCTAAAAGGGCTATCACGAGAGGAACAGATCCGAAAAGCTGAACGTGACTCGCTTGTATTAATATTGGGAAAGCCATCAAATGATGCCAGCAGATCGATAGAGGTGATTGCATCGATCGAGCTTCGATTGCAACCGTGTGATGCAAAAATTCCATTCAGTATACCCTGGTTGGACCGTGTAGAACGACGAATTGGTTCTTTGATCGGTTTGGGAAACAACGGCAATGGAGCGGGAACCAACGATATGCAACCGTATTTAAGCAATCTTTGTGTAGACGAGAAATTTCGTGGTCAAAAGATTGGACGAGGGCTAGTGAGATGCGTAGAAAATATCGCCAAGAACTCTTGGGGCTACAATCGTATGTATTTGCATGTCGACGAAGACAATCCGGCGGCCCTTAACCTGTACAAGAGCGAAGGTTACAGCGATGTTGGCCATCGATGGAATCCCTTCTGGAGTGGAGGAGCTTCCGAAATTGGTTATTATGTGAAATCATTGTCATCGACTCCGTGAAGCTTCTTTAGAAGAATTCAGTTGACACTAAAAAGTGAGCGAATCGCACTTGCATCTTGTGATTATCAATAATACCATTATGTTATGATTCAACCAATACGAGAACATTTGTTTGTGTACGAAACTATTGAAAATATGATTGTGGTCCAAAAATTAGCTTTCTTATAAAATAACAACTTATTCATTAAAGGCGGATGTTGTCCAATTTGAGAGCGAGGAATTTGCTTTCTGACAATTGAACATCGTATCTTCCAGTACTAGCATTGAAACTTTTGATAGTTCCCCATTTACCATTGAGTTCCGGTTTCGATTGAATGCCTGTTATCCTTCCGACAGTACCGTTTTCGAGCACTATATTCGTAGGTCTCAAACTAATACATTTCGTTGTGGGATTGTTCGCGATATAAACATTGTATCGCTCTTTGCCTTCATCCCATGCCAGAATTGTGGCCTTTTGGCCATTCAACTCTACCCTACTCCCAAGACCGTGAATTTTAACATGCACGTGTTGCAACAAGTTCGATGGCTTCACTGCAATAGTTTCACCTGTATCCTCAATCTGTACATAGTATCTACCTGTAGCTGGATCAAATTGCATAATTTCCCCGCGGTCACCATTTTTCTCTGGTTTGCTGACAAGTCCTTTTAATGAAACATTTGTTCCCACTGGGATCGCATCGTATCGTTTTGGTTCACGTCGACTTGAACTGCTGCCGAAGCCAGATCCTCCCATTCCAGGCATACCTCCCATGCCTCCAAAACTTCCACCCATTCCAGGATGTCCTCCAAAGTTAATGTGCATGCCTCCGGGTCCTCCACGTCCTCCCATGCCTCCCATTCCACCGAATGGATCTGAGCCGCCAAAGAATTGACTGAACAAAAATTGCGCTTCGTCAGAACTCATCCCATGTCCACCACGACCTCCTCCACCGAAACTGAAGCCTCCGGGCATACCTCCGAAGCCACCCATTCCACCCATTGGATGGCCGTCGGGCATATTTTCCGACTGGTCTGCTGCCTCCTTTCCGTATGTATCGTATATTTTTCTCTTTTTCTCGTCCGACAGCGTGGCGTAGGCCTCACTGATTTTTTGAAAATTTTTCGTTGCTTGTTCATCTCCTGGATTTTTGTCGGGGTGCCACTGGTAAAGTAGAAAAGGGAGGCAAGGCCAACAAAGTGAGACAACGAGAACCAAAATCGAACACCACATCTCCGAATGTTGTGACTCCGTAGAAGTCAGTATCAAATTTACGTAATAGAACGACAGAGCATGATGTCAAGAACGTACCTTTACAGCGAGTTTTTTGTATGCTTTCTTGATTGCGGCATCTGCCGCTGATCTTGGAACACCAAGAATTTGGTAGTAGTCATCTGAGTTTAAATTTGGTGCCATTGTCAGTGTTTTTTTCGTCTCAACAGTTTTTCTTCGATAGTACAAGTGTTATGTCAAATACCAATGTTGTCGGTATAAGATTGTTGTTGTCCAGTTTGTCTGTCAGGCTCTTGGATGATCGTAAGGTTCATACCGTATGAGATTTTAAAATTGTGTTCTCGGCATTTTTGTTGGCCTCAGGGCCTCGATCGACTTCTTTTTCTAACCAAAAGAGAATTTGACGCATGCATCGTATCTACGTTACATATGATGAAGGATAGTATGAAACGGGACTCAAAACATTTCGAAGAAGTTCTTTTTTTCTACTCGACGCTCCGATACACGGTACGAACTGTACCATACGTACTTACTGTATTACTGTACTGTGAGTTTTCGAAAGACATCCCCGATAGATACGACCAAAGTTAAGCGTATGAAGGCCAGACATGTATCGTACTTCTAAGTACTCGATTGGGGGATACCAAAACCAAGATGCGATTTTTGAGAAACAACTTCCTCCCCCAAATTCGGTACATGTCTCTTTGGAACTGTTCGGTTGCTTTTCATCTGTGTCTGCAGGATGCTGGACTTACAATGGTTAAAATTTTCTACGAAAGCAGAAAAAGTCAATGCAAAATAAAAAAGTGTGACTTATGCTTACATCAATAGCTTGATTCAAAACTCGCGATCTCTCCTAGCGTTGGCGATTCTATTATTACTATACAAAGCGTTCTGAGAAATCAGAATAAAAGATTCGCTGGCATTTCATTTTGTGAATACTAAAATTTTTTCAGAATTATGAGTGAAATTCGAAGTTCGTGCTCGTTGTTGAGATTCAAAACGCATACGCAATTCGATGTTGTACGACGTCCCAGCTGCGTAGACTTGTGGTCAACTTTGTAGCGGTCACGGCTTCGCTTGTCTATCTACATGCCATCCGCCATTGATTTAAATCAAGTGGTTTGTCCACAGCATTGTCCTCGACAATGTTTCCAGTATTGGCATCGATAACAACCAATCGAGGGATTCCAGATACCTTCAAGGTTGCCATTAGTCGTTCTCGTGTGTCGTCTTCGAAATCAATGGCCATCCATGGATGAGAGGCTTGGAAATAGCTCCGGAATCCATCCTCATCATGATCCGCCGACAAGAAGACAACCTCGACGAAATTCTTTCCCACGGTCTTGTACTAGTTGGCGAGCATGGGTGTGAATTTTCGACAGGGCGGACACCAGTGTGCACTGACGTAGAAGAGGACAAATTCTTTCCCACCAAGTGCGTCGGCT